GTGCAATTATCGACGAGTGATGCGAGCCATCACCGCTGCTTTTTTTATCCCACAGGAGTGATTTTCCAATCTCTTAAAAGTAGCAACCCTACGTCAGGTTCCGCGGCCCTATCGAAAATAGAAAGACAGAATTCTGCGTAAACGAAATTGTCTACTGTTACACTGCACAGAAATAGCACTTGGCTATTAACTTGGGAAAAAAATTGAAATGTACACGCAAAGTACTTGGACCAGCACTGAGATATCATCCCCACACGTATTGCCCTTTAACCCATTCCTCTGTTTTCACATGTATTTTCCTGATTCTTGTATCGACAAGTCACAATTCACTTACACCTTTTTGAAATTTATCTTTACGAATTGAATGTCACAGCCATGTTACTATATACAGATCTTTTATTCACCCTCAACCCTCTAACTTGAAGCATCAGAGTTTCTCTGTGGAATTCCTGCATTTTAGCTGAACTTTACAGAAGCAGATATATCAGTTGGAAGTCTCTTAAATATTTATTTTTTCCTCCAGTACAATTTAAGGCAAGTTGTTTAAGAGCTTCCTAATCCGTCCTTTGGTTTGTTTACATTATCTGCAGAAGCTGTCCCAACGATTGATTTTCGTCCTGTGCAAATGCCACCACATTCCATTATTTACTGTCCTGCGGTACCAAAATGAACCGTTGTGAGTTGGCATATGATTCTCAGGCTTTTAGCTCTGACTTTTTATGATCACCAGAAACATGCTTGCCTTGTGACTTACGTCAGCACACGGTCATAGCGCACATCCACCAAGTATTCTGTACAGAAGGTTGTTCAGGCTAACATTTTTGAACGATTTTACATACAAATAAATATGGTTTATGCATCAGATAATCTACCGGTTTTATAGTTTGTGAGGTACGGAGGAATGTATTCACCAATCACACAGGAACAACGTGCATTCGCTTAATAGATGTGATGTTAAATTAAATTTAAAAATGCTTGGATTTAAATACATTATTTTTGACCCACTGTAAAGTTGTATCTGAAATTAGTGACAGTAACAAGTTGTAAAAGATTGTTTTGGAAGCAAAGCAGGCAAATTTATATTTTATGCTCCTTTCAGATATTTAAGGAGGCAAGCACCACTATCATCAGGGGGAAAACGGGGAAAAAAGAAGACCCCCCCCCCAAAAAAAAACCTCCAAAAATCAATAAAAATAAAGAACAGGTGGCAAAACTAACATTTTCGTTTTATTCTGAATCCACAAAATGTGGGAATGATTGCTGGACACGGTTATATAAATTATATTCAGATCAAATGCACCATGCGAACTTAACCCAGGTCAAGTTGTAAACATCGATTGGAATCGCTTCAACGTTGTCGCCTCTTAATTACCAGCGACGGTTGTATTACCCCCCTCCATCCATACAAGATCATTTGACTTGCATTAATGACCAAGCGGTCAGAATTTTAAAGCTCATCTTTCACAAGAAAAGGTCAAGTCAAAATATAGTCCCCTGATGTTGTTTACAGCTTGCTCGGACCGCAAAACCGCTCGGAAATGTTTGGACATTATTGGATGCTTCCATTCCAATCCCTGGCCAAACAGTCATTTGTCTGAGAGCTCTCGCCCTAAAAATAAGCACTCCTTTTTTTTTTCAATCTGCGTCCACCGTCGAGCCCTAGATTTTTAAAGTTTTCCATGAGTATGGGGTGTTTATTTTAAAATGTCAGCACTTAAAGTTGTGAAACGAGGCAGGAGAAAAGGAAATATTGCAAGGTGTGAGAAGTCACCTTTTAACTTTGGTGATCCGAATTTGATGGAGCATATAAAAAGCCATGGCACTAGGTTTATGTCTACTGAAAAAAAGTTGGTTAAAAAGCTCTGTGGGAGGGGAAATTTGAGGCCATTTCCTAATATAAAAAAAGTCTAGTAGCTTTGGTGTTCATGGATCACGCAGGCTTGGATGTTGGACAAGTGTCAAGTCATTGCCGTTTTTTTTTGGGGGGGGGGGGTGCTTGTGAATTATGAAAGTCACTGTGTCATTGAAGGTGTATTCAGGAGTGATAAATCTCTCCAGATTAGAATCGGTTCACCTTTAAACTTGACTTGTGTTTGTGGATTACTAGCTTTAGCCTACTGGCCTTCATTTGTTGGAAATGTCAATTGTGTGAATTACTCCACTGACCAAGATCTTGGACATTTTGGGGAAGCACTTCTCGCCCTGTGGATGCGCATTTAACTAGCTTAGTGGTGTCTTGATGCGAGATCATTTCTGCCCTCTCTGCCTGATGACTTTGGGCAGTCTTTATTTGAGGTCATCTACGTGATTATAATCTGCAAAAGAGTGAGTTCCACCAACTCCTCCCCCCACCCCATCTCACACACTCGCTGTATCAATTTGTCATTTGCGCATGCTCGGATGGGTTCTAGCTTTCCTGCTTCTTTCAGGCCACAGGAAAGCTGTACTCATGCATTCCATCATGGTTCTGTTTAGGAGAAGAGGATGCAGCAAGATGATGATATATTGTCTTGTGCGCTGATCCTTGTGATGTGATTATTCCACGCTGGAGTTATGTACGTCAGGCACAAAAGCCAATGAGGTGTACTTCAATAATTAAATGCACCTACATGTATTTAGGATGGGCAAGTTCACCGTTGCTTCAAAACACTGTTTAATCAAAATACTGATCATAGATTATAATGTGCTTTTCTTGTGCAACAGAAATGCTACATTTAAAACAATTTGTGATATTTCCAAAGATTTGTGGGGAGTTGTTCCAAAAATATTGTTAAAAAAGATGGCATGAGCAAAAAAACCCCAAAAACTTTAAAAGCGAATGATCAAATTTTTGCACATGTACACTGCACAGCAAGAAAATTGTGATGCTTGAAATGATTTGCTCACCTTAAATCACAACGTTATGTGCATTGGATTCTCCGCTGAACCGGTAACTGTCCTACCCTTCCCACTGATATCTGGTACATCAGATTCATTCCAGGATACCTGTTTGGTACTGTTGAATAAGCTGACGGCTCGCACTTTGATCAAAGTGCGAACCATCATGAGCACTAGCAGATTCCTGAAACACACCTGCCACCTGTCAAGTGAATGTTACACAGGAGGGAAACCATTAACAAGGCAAGCTGAACGATTCTGAGTGATCATCTCATTCAAAGCAAGAAGTAGTTGGGAGGGTCACAATCAAACGTTCAGCATCTTAGCAAGAGGACATGCTTGTGTTTTTTACTCGGAGATCTTGAGGTGTTTAAGATTGATGGTATAAATCGGAAGTTGAGTGAACGAGGGTAGGGTCAAGAAAACAGCCAGTGCAAGAGTCAAGTATGAATAAAAGTCAAGAACAGGTGATGATTGGTTTTTAGAGGTGTGAAGAGGATGAACTGCAGGGGTGAAGAGTAGGAGAGGTTTGACATTTATTGCAGCTATATCCAGGCTTGAACAAAAGTGTGGGGGCACTGGAAAAAAAAGAATGACAGAAAGATGGATGCAATGTAGTGTTTGTCGCTTGCCAAACCGAAAGATTCACCGCCATCAAAGTTGCCTAATGTGACCTATGAGGAACTATTTTGGGCCTGTTTGTTAGTTTGAGGTCTGTCATCTTTGTAATGTCATGGTTTGTTGTTTGGTGTGTACATGTAGCAGTAGTGATGGAACATAAGATGTACCGGTACATGAACTTTAACGCAAAAAGGTTGACAGAGAAGTTTTATTTGTTGCTGTGAGTTGTTTCCCGTAAACACTGAATGATTTATCAGTCTATCTGGAGTATGTGTAACTTGACTGGATAATGTACAGGATGAAACAGTCATTGTCAGTTCAGCAGTATTTTATTGAACCCATATTGTTATGTAAGTGTCTGCACATTGCCCGTAGTGTTCCAGATGAAATCACCATGCAAAACAGTGATTTAACAAGCAACTTTTTCCAAGCTGCATACGTATCCGGTACACATTCCATTTCTAATGATCTCTAGTCTGTGATACCGGTAAGTTTCCGGTTTTCTTGTATTGGAGAGACCTGAATTTGCATTGTGAATTTCAAATAATAGCACATTTGATGGATGTCTTAACATTGCAGCACTTGAGAAAAACTCCAACACGCCTTTGAGGGGATTTGACGCCGTTGACGATTGTTAATCTCTGTGTTATTGATACAAATGCATTGTTATGTATCAATTTCACTGGGAGTCTATTAACTTTGAGACAGTATGAAGACCTGGCGCAATCCTAGCCTACGGCACTGCAGGCTGTGCAAAACAAAAATGCTTTCGTGCAATTTAACGAGCCCATTAATGCGTTGTGTCATCAGTTTAAGATAATGATACTATTTGCCAAAAATGTGTTTTGTCGATTCAAGGAAAAACAATACATTTAATCTAAAGCAGGTAGATAAAAAACTAACCTGTCAAAATTTCATCTCAGTAGATATACTTTTTGAGAAAACTGTGAAAGTGCATAGATCTTCATTTTTCTTGACGCACAGCTAACCATCACGAGAAAATGATGGCAATTCCTCTGTTCTTGAAATATACAGCATACATGTACTAGATGTATTGATTTCACAGAATACATGATCATTACAATCAAGTAGGACATTTCATATTTTAACAGGTTCATTTGTGAATGTTTGTAAATGATGTTCATTACCTTTAATTTGCTGTGAGTTATAGCTACCGGTACATGTACATGATCAGAGTGATCAGAGTGAGACACTTATGTGCCAGCACTGGATCACATTGTTCAGTTTGCAAACTTCAAAGTGTGCTTTTTATGAAAAGCTACTGATAACTGAAGGACTGATAACTGTAACTTCCGGGAGCATCATCTTACATTGAAATATTTTTTTAAATTTTGCCGACGCGCATGGTTACAGCGACACGCGTGCATACCAGAAACCGGAGCCTTTTTTGGGGGGGGGGGGGCCTTAGAATATTTGCTTAAATTTGTAATCCTTTCCATTACAAATTGAACAATTCTTTGTGAATGGTTTCTTGATTGCAGGAGCAGCATGGAGATTGGAAGATGATGAAACCAGAAATCCACCGCCCTCCCCCTCCATTGAAGACACGCCCTTTGCACGTGCCACATCACAACCTTACTATGCAGTACCGCCTAAATTCAATGTAAGTAAATCTCTGTACATTGCAAACTCATCGGCACTGGAAATCTTACATTATTTAGGGGAACGGGGTGGATGGGTGGGTTGTGGTGGGGATGGTAGTGGAGAGGAGGGGGGAGGTGTGGTTATGCCCTTGATGTATGATATGCTGTTTGGTATATACATGTACGTCTTGATTACATCATCCCTCCACAAATTCAACGTAAGTGCATCTCTCTGTATGTTGCAAACGTTCTACTTAAAATCTTGCATTATTTTGCACGTGCCTTGTACAAAAGTAGTCATAAATTCAAATTTCCCACCTGTTTGCCATGTACATGTATACCTTGAGTAGACATGAATCTGTCATCCGCAGTATCCTATCCCAACCCTATAGGGCTCGTTCACTGACGGCCATCTCTGTAGGAGAACTGCAACTGTGTATTGTACACAATCAAGTACGCATTGCGTAGTGTTGAAAATGTTCCAAACATGCGCGATTGTTGCTTGAAATGTGTTCGAAATGTGACGCAGCCGATGCGCGTTATGCAAGTTGACGCTCAAAATGACGATGCGTTATGCAAGTTGACGCTCAAAATGACGATGCACGTGGATGATCTGTAGGAAATGACGTCATTTGAACGAGAGCTATAGACTGTCCAGGTATCAAAAAGAAAAAAATAATATACTAGTTGGCAGGTACAAAAAGATGAAGTGAAACTATTGAATTAAGTGTTCTTGAATGAAGTATGCCATGAACCTGGAGGCTTGCAGATGGTGCTCTTGACACTATTTATTGGATCAGGTTGACCTGGATATTCCAGGGATGGTTAGAGAGGCACGTAGGGCTGCCTGGGTACGGGTTTGTTGCTCACTGGTAGCGCAGTACGGGGTGTTACTTACGCATTGGCTCGGCTACGGAATGACACCTGCGTGAGGTTTCATATTGCATGTGATGTTCCCTTGAGGATAGGAGCATGCCTTGTTTCATGAATTTTTTAACATGGCACATATATAGCTTGGCACCTCTTGTCAATGCTTGAGGAAGTTGGCCCTTTTCCCCTTCTTTTTGGTCCACCTTTTCTTCTGCCATAATTCCTCATTTTTCGTTGCGTTCAAGCCATTGTGGTAGATCATTGTTAGAGTGTACCATTTGCCTCTCAACAATTACTACTTGCTACATTAAACAACTTGCTATATTGCATCTGAAAGGCATGTGCGAATAATAAGTACAAACTATACAAACAAGTCAAAGTAAGAAGTAACAAACATTGCCTCAGATGCAATCAAACAGATCAAAATAACCCTGTGCAGTAACTTCTGTATTGTAAAGTACAGTTTAAAAAAAATTGAAAATATTAATAAATATCATAAAGTTTTAGCATAAATGTTTATCTTAGTTTCTGGGTGGGAGTAAAGGAAGTAATTAATATTACTTCATTTACTAATATTACTCTGTTGTGTCCATACACTAAATGACATTCATTCACTTGTCCCACACTTCTGGTCAAAGATGGTAATTTTTGCCAAGTTCTTGGGAACTTTAGTATTGAGGTTTGATAAGGCCAAAAAAAAAGAAATTCGGTCTCTGGTCAGACCAAAGTTCCGGAATTGACGCGGCCACGCGGCTTTTTTTTTTTTTTTTTTTCCTTTTTTTTTTTTCCTTCAAGCTTGGATTGTACAGACAAGGTGGGTACTATTTTGCTTTTTTGGTGTCCTCATGTACATTGGTGTCCTCCATAATTTGCCTTGGTGCTTTCGATCATTTGCCTTGGTGCAATTTCCCATTCCTTGGTGCTCTTTTGTAAAAAAAAATTGAGGAGGTGCGGAAATAGAGGGCGCTGTTGGAGCTACCGCGGAACATTTTGGGAAAAAAAAAAGATCGACGCGCATGCTTAAAATCGACGCGCGCGCTGACCAGAGACCGACTTATTTATTTTTTTGGCCTAACATACACACTGATGACGAAGTAGAGTGCTTCAAATGTCAACTGTCAATTTTCAAGAAGCTTTTTGGAACTTAACCCCACCCCCAACCTCCCAAGCCACCCCAACCTCCCGACCCCCTATCCTCCCCACCTCCAACCTCCCAGCCCCCCCCCCCAACATCCAAGCCCCCAACTAATATTGTAATGTAGATGAATTTTGCCGGGCACAGATTATTTATGAATTAAGGACAACATCAATCATACATGTAGTTTGGCTTGATGAACGTTGTGTCTTGAATTATTATTTTTTAAGGATGATGAGAAGTCCAGCAGGAGCAATGGAGGAAGCGGGTTGGTCAAGCTGGCTCGACGACTCAGTCAGAAGGGAGACAGGAGGGAGAATAAAGGTGATAAGCCTCCATGCCGACAACGCTCCATCAGTGTGGACAGGTAGGCTATCAACTCAAGTCTAATCACGTGGCAGGCAACATCATGGTCTCCGTGCACAAGTACTCCCTCAACAAGTACATACCCCCTCAATTGTTGAATAGGGAGAGTTGGGGAAACCAAGGGGAGGGACATTATTATTATTATTATTTATTTATAACAGCAAAACAAAACACTAAAAGGTGACCTCTTTCAGAAGCCAGATTGGGAGGGACACACTGCTTGCACGTACTTGTTTGGTCACGTAACACGCTTAGCAGGCACAACGTTTTTTATTCTGAATAATATGCACAAACCGGTTACTTCATTGCGTGAGCATCGATCAGGTCTTTGGTAGTGCATTCGATTGTCCCGCTCAGTGGTCTCCCCCAACTCTCCATTTGTAACCGTCGAAGGGAGTACTTCAGCACGGAGCCCATTTCTTTTGCTCATACATTCAGTGCTAACACAGTGCATATCAGGCTGGTATCCGTGCTCAACTGATTTCATCACAGAACCATGATATTCACCAGCTATCAATACAAGTCTATGTTTTTAAAATATTTTTTAGAGACAATCTTGATGATTAAAGACATATTTGATGATTAGAGACAAATCAATGATTAGTTCATGTATGTATACATGTAAGTCCTTTATTTTTGGACTCGTGCCCTTAAGAGTCAGCATCTACACAGTATCATTCTCAAATTTGCCACATAACATGTATATTTTTAACTTTTGAACAAAATTGTATAAAATCATGCAGATGCACAAATTGTTAGTTATAGTTGGCTTATATTGCTGTACATAGAGCAGCAAATGATACATAGAATAATTACAGAGGCTGCAATCTGTCATTGCGATGAAAATGCAGCATCTGATGACAGGTTCAGCTGGCATAGTTTACCCCAGCCTGTCATTGGGCACCGATGGTTCAACTAACTGACCCATCAATATGAAACCATGTGAGGAAACAATTAAATAGCAATATAAACTGAGGTTATGTCTGAAGGATGTACTTGTGGCTACGCCTGTGAATTTAGCCATTGGTGCACTGTGCAGGATGGTCATAGCCACAGACAACATTGCCCTTTTCAGACACAGCCTGGGGTACCAGGTGCAGTTACATAGATGTCATAATTGGATACATGTATGTAAGACATTCAGGTAATGGCCCTTATTTTTTTAGACTAAGAACTTTCTCCACAGAAGTATTAATGTAATCATAAGATATGTGGCTATTAAAAAGCGTCAAAATGTGTTGGTGAATTATATCATAAAATATTTATGAAAAGGTTCAACTCAACAACAAAAATATGCCCTCTCTGCTTAAGGACTGCCTTAAGTGAGAGAGAAGCACCTGTTTTTAGGGTTTTTATTTCAGACGCAGTTGATTCAGACAACCTGCAGGGGGGACTTATAAACATTAGAAGAGAAACACGACAAACACCGACATGATGACTTGTACTGAGAGTGTTCATTCTGTTTAATGGATGACAGGTTTCTGTTGCAGCTTCAGTGAGAGCTTAACCATTTTCTTCAGAGTCGTGATTCTTGTTGCCTTGTTGCACTGGAAGGCCTGTACCAGTTTGTGCTTCTCAAAGCAAACGCCAACATTTTCTATAGCTTGTGTTTTGTACTCTCTATTTTGTAAGTACATGTACATGAAGCGACCTGAGATACAAACTGAAAGAGTGTCAAGACATTCTAAATTGAAACATGCCAAGCCACTTATAAAGAAAGAATCCACAATGTAATAAACTGTAGATTATCTGATTAGAGTAGGTTACTACCTACGGTATGTGGAACCTCTGGATTCCCATGCCATGGTGCTGTAGGCAAGAACGATCAGCCTACAAAAGAAAGTTCCCTCCCAATTTGCCAAAAACCTGTCACCCATTCAGAGCCCCGTCAAGCGCATCATGCACCCCATTAGTGCCCATTCAGGCCCAAGTTTTTGTCTCCTTTTGCCACTACACTTGTAACCCCCCTTGACTACCAGTACCAGGGGCACTTCATGGGGATTTTTCACAGGCTTCCCGCCTCCCTGCTCTGTTGTCTGTTCTCTTCTAATTGTGTTTGTTCAAAGAACTGTGCTCTATGTTAACAACAAGCTGTTCTATTTACCTTATGGCTTGACTGTCTCACTATTGCTGAGTCAAGCCAACTCATAAGATCTTGTTTGTGGAAGCGTAATACTCAAGTTTGGCACATTTTTGCAGATATTTGTAAGTAATAAAGTATCATTTTTTTTGCTGACTGGCACTTTTTGATGTATTTGTTCATTTTTGGGTTCCTGTAACTACAAGAGCAGTGAACTTGTTTAGATATTGTAATAATCCTCGTTTGAATAACTTTTTTGTGTGTGGAGAACATTATAGGAGGGGTACACAACGTGGTGTCATTCTAATTCTAAGGTTGAACTCTAAAACTTTATGGAATAAGTAGTTTTTAAAAATGATTAGGCATTTGTAGCAGACTTATTGAAAATCTATTGATGAAAAAAGTAATTAAGTATCACGCCATTGTTTTCATGAACAAGATGTATTTGGCGACATGATTCATTTCATCTTTGTTCTTGTATATTAGACGACTTAAGGGTCATTGAACTTCATTAATGAAGTTGAGATTAACAAGACAGTTGTTTTTCCCTCATACTTTCCAAGATATTAGCTGTATATACATGTAGGTCATATTGTCTAGTCCCCCCTCCCAATGTTAAATTCCAATATAATTTGATGCACTTTGAAATTTTTCCAGTAGTAAATGTACTTCTGTGTTGATAGAATATAACCATCAACATTCATAAGTTATGTTTTCTTTAATATGCCATTGATTCTTTCATTTTTAATTTCTTTTGTTTATTGTGTTTGCAGTCTTTGTTACTTTGGTTATTTTTCTGTCTAACTTTCTGTTTACACACAGTAAAAGTGAGGAGGACGACCCCATTAGTTTGGACCACTGGCTGTGGCCCATTCTCATGCCAGAGGGCGATGATGACACTGTCATAAAGCCTGTGTAAGACCATTCGTGCATCCTCCCTCTTATTGTAGAAGAGCCTGTTTGCAGTGACACCTCATTACTAACATGCAACATCTATTCAGTACTTCATCTTTCTCCACAGCCTATCACACTCATATTATACGGTCCATTATCATTAACATTGCCTTAACACCTTAACATCATTTGCTTCTATGCTAAGCTAAAAGGGTCAGTCTGCAAATTTAGGGTTCAAAGTGTGACATCTTGCCTGCCCCTGTTACCTGGAAACTTTGTGATTCGTCATTCAAGTATCATTAAGAATGACCTCAAACAATCTTTTATTTGTTAGGTGGGTAGTTTGCAATTTGAAATCACTCTTGGGGGATGACGGACGACTGCATTAAGGAGTGCATCCATAATTACAAAATGTCAGATGTAACAGGGACAGGAAAAAAAGTGGCCACCAAATTTATAGAATGACCCATTTTTAATAGGAATAGCAAGAAACATGATTTGTCTAATGACCATGTGGGGTGGCATACCTACCCTGCCCTACCCCACCCCATCCCACCCCCACCCTCTAAGTGGGGGTGGGGCACGGAAGGGGAACTGAGGTGTGACACCCCATAAGTCATTAGACAAAATCATATGTCTTGTCAGCTGTTTGATTTTGTGTCAGACTGGTAATTTTTTTTAATTTTTACTGCAAGCGGTCCCTCAGCAATTTTGCTTTCACACCTATCCCCCCCCCCCACAAATATAAATTGGTCTGGGATCCATGCATATAGCACTGCATTAAGGATAGATGTTCCTGTCAACATTAAAGTTGCATTCCCGTGCTATTTTTGAGTTTCATCACGAAATGCAAAGCTAAAAAAAAAATATAGACCCACGTAAAGTTATTAAATTATTACTATCTGTTTGGACTAGGAAGGCTACTCGCAAGGCAGATCTGTATGTACTCAAAATAAAAACCTTTTCCTGGAGGGCATGCAGATGTCCAAAAAAGTTTAAAAAAAATTTTTTTTTTTAAATGTTGGTTGGAAATTTATTTGGAGAAAAACATTGAATTTGTTGAAAAGCATGGGGATACCAACTTTAAACAAAGGACCATCCAGAATTTAGAGTTGATCTGGTTGGCACTGTAGGAAAATTGTGGCTGTCCGTTGCATTTAATGTGAAGATGTAATCTTCAAATATATGTGCATATACATGTATCTGTCATTTAGTAGTCAGTTCACTTCATGTGTTTGTTGCATTTAAATGATTTTACAGTGATACAGTATTTTTTTTTCATGAATAGTGTTTTGGTTCCATACTCAACAAAGATGAAAAGCCAGAAGCTTTCTGGAGGGATGCATTGTAAATATTGATGACATCATTTGTTATGAAGATAAACATAAAACAATATTTTTTCAGAGTTAATACAAATTATTTTGAAATAAAACAAGGCAAAGAGTGCATAAAGTTCCATTCAGTCGATTCAAAATGGATATTCACTTTTCATGTGTCTGGTCAGAACAATGGGCCAGATTTAGCCAATTCGTCGGTGTAACTTTGTAATCTTTACATTAAAAACTAATACTACAATTTTCTTGTCAGAAGCCAAAGTCTACTTGGGTCAACCTGAGTAACTCCTTATACATGTGCATTTTGGCACAACAGTCTGCTTCTTACTTCTCGCGATCTTGTCTGTGTAAAACGTATTTGTTGGGTAACGTTGGACGTCACAATGAAATGTTATTGTTGACGTCATGAAATTCACCCTGCTTTCCCTCTCACATGAAGTGCGAGGGGGAGGAATACCAGTATACCTAGGACAAACAGGAAGTACAGAAAGCATTGAAGCCCTGCGTAGATCATGACGTGAATGTGCCGACGAATCTTAAAAGTCACATAGCAAGCTTGCACTTTGTTGATTTATGTAGCTCCATGGTATGCCTATGAATCTTGGCTGATTATTTGCACAGCGTAACCCCTGACACTTGATGAGGCAATGGAGCAATGGGTAGGGTGCAGCCAAGCCTGAAATGTTTACTCCTCATGGCTGTGGCTGCCCTAACAATTTGTCAAACCCTGAAAATAGTCAGTTGATCTCAGAAAAAAATCTTGCTGATTTGGCGGTCAGAATGGAGAATTGACTCCAGTAGGGGAAGACTTAAAGCTATTGGGGGGGGGGGGGGGGGGGTGGTTAAACACTGTGACAAATGGGAATTAGGTCATGCAGAAAATTGCCTCAGAAGGAGGGTATTAAAAACGGTTACTGTTGGTTGAACGCGGGATATGTATCGTCCTTTGATAACTACATGGACATGGTATGAAGTTTGACTAATAGACTGTTAATGTATTTAGGAAGTTTCTTCATTAGTAATGAGTAGTGTATCCTCGTTAGAGTTAACCCTCCCGCCATGAATCAACCCATTTTCCAGACCCAATAGGCTTAATTGTGCTTTACAGGCAGATTGGGGGTGGGGGGTAATGGTTGTCATGGTTTCCCTACTGATGAGTGCCAAATTAAAAAAAAAATTGTTTTGTAATTACACAGAAAAGAAGTGAAGTTTACTGTTGTTAAATCAGCTTTACTCATCCCCTGTCCCTCTGCAGATTTGTTAAATTTGAAGAAAAAGGGAGATAAGAAAAAAGAGTGCCCCTAGCATCAAACAATTAGAATCTTATTGACCAAAGTATTGATAAGTGCTCATAGTTTCCTTCAGTACTTCCCTTTCCAAACTCAATTGTATACATTGAGAACTTCATAGAGATGTATAGAGTATGTAAAGAGTTCACACTGAAAACAGTAGCAATTAGGCTGTAGGGAATCCGTACACACATGATATAGCTGATGTAACTGGTTTTTTTTTGCTATTTTGGCATCAGCTTAAACTACTAAGGATTCTTCATTCTTCAGTACTCCCCTTTCCAAACTCAATTGTACATTGAGAATTTCATAGAGATGTATAGAGTATGTAAAGAGTTCACACTGAAAACAGTAGCAATTAGGCTGTAGGGAATCCGTACACACATGATATAGCTGATGTAACTGTTTTTTTTTGCTATTTTGGCATCAGCTTAAACTACTAAGGATTCTTCATTCTTGGAGAACGAAATAAAAACAAATATTCTGGAAAGGTTGGATGCCCATTGCAATTGATGTACAATAAAAGTGGAACAGAATGTAATATCATGTTTACTACCTTCCAGCCAATGTCTTTCAGGATTTAATATCAAACAACTACAAAGGGAAGCTGATTCAGCTCTTTTTTCTTCTTCTTTTTTTGATTTTCTGTTTTTAAAGTGGATGATGGTTTAACTATACATGAATTCAGTCCAACCATTCCGTAGGTATAGGTTGGCTGTTGCCCCTTTCCTTACTATTTCTCGTGATGTTGGACATGCTCTCTGGCCGCACAGCATGTATGGGTTTATGGTTACTGAGGAGAGGTAGCTCAGCTTGGTATGGAGTGCTTGAATGGAATGACGGGGATACAGGTTCCAATTGTTCTTCAGTCAATTTTCCACTGGGAATTAATGATTAAACTCTTCTTTTGTTTGCAGCATGTTGTAAGGTAGTGGTTAACTAGAAGTGTGCAATCACTTTAACAGCTGCAGAATGTGGGGAGGTGGGGGTCATATATCGGTACTCAGGGGTTTTAAAGATTTGGGGGGCGTGCATATCTTGTCCACTCAAGAGTCATCATCATCATGTCGGTTTTAAGGCCGTTGTCCAGTCTGTTCTGGGTTGGCCTGCTTTCTCCCTATGGCTCTCCTCCACTTGGCCCTGTCCGTCGCGTCCCTCGCATTGACTCCAAGCAGTCGCATGTCATCTGACACGGAGCTCTGCCAAGTCTTGCGCGGTCGGCCGACGGGTGTGGGCCCACCCACAATTACGTTGGTACACCTCTTGACCCAGTTGACATCCTCCTTTCTCTCCACATGACCAAACCACCTCAGCCTGTGCCTCCTCAATACGATGCCGATCCCCTCCACTCCCACTCTCCTCCTCAGCTCCTCGCTTGACAGCCTGTCCGCCAGAGACACCCCACACATCCACCTGATCATTCTCATCTCTGCTCGTTCCATCTGCTGGATGTGCCCCACCCTTGTGGGCCATGTCTCGCAGCCGTACACCATACTGTTTCGGACACAGGCGGTGTAAACCTGGCCCTTCATCTTCAGGGGCGGCGCCTTGGATGTCAAAAATGGGGCCAGCTCCCTGAACTTCTTCCACCCACTCCTCACGCGTGATGTCACTGCTGCATCTGCTCCTCCCTCAGCACCCAGCATGTCACCCAGGTAGCAGAACGACTCCACCACCTCATACGTGTCACCGCAGACCTCCAGACCCGCTTCTCTCTCCTCTGGCCGTAGACCATCCCCCCGACATCTCTTACAGATGAACGTGGCGCTAGCAGCCTGAAGACTACCCTTCAAGCCACTACATCGCCTGTGAACCCACTTCCTACACGTTGTACACTGGATTGAGTTGGCAGCTACACCTTTCCCACACACACCACACGGCCATGCACCAGAGCTCGTCATTGGCCCACCGCTGACGCGACTAACCATCACCTTGGTCTTCCCGGCGTTGATCTTCAGACCCTTAGATGCCAGACACACTCTCCATGCTGCCATCTTTGCATGTAGCTGCTCCCTTGTCTCTGCTATAAGGACTAGAGAGTGAAGAGTTTAAAAAATGTTGAACACTTTTCTACCAAAAAAAATCCCAGATTTTTTCAAACATAAATCAGAGTTCTCAGTCAAAGTGTGCATGTACCAGAAGAGTGTATCTTATATTGACAGGATTTAACACTGCATTGGACACTTTAAAATCAAACTTTTTTGATTCCATTAACCATATTTTTGTGCATGAAATTCATTACTCCAGCTCAAAATGAGTGTTATGTCTGAATTTCAACCACTGAACTCATCTGTCTCATGTCTTGTCCTTCCTTTATGCAGCGGTGATGTCAGGAAAGCCCACAGCATGGAGAATCTTCTTCAGCAGACCAGCGACTACAGCAAGGCCTCTTCCATCCCACCCTCCCCAACCGCCCCACAGAAGCTCCATCGAAGCTGGTCTGCCAAGAAACGCAGTGGTAGCAACACTGAGGTAGATGGAGGGGTCGGTGGAGGGAAAGACAGGACCAAGAGATATTCCAAACAGATGACGGACAGCCAAGGTGAGAAGGCTACTTCAGACTTTGGAATAAGGCTCTCTCTAAATGTACCACCATCCGAATGCTTGAACAAAATCTGATCTTCCTGCCCAATGACGTCAATCAGAGCATGTAAATTGTATTATAAAAAACTACTTCTCACTACGGTTAATGTCAATGGTGATTACAGAGCAAAGTTATTATTTTAATTGCCGAATACAATTATTAAAAACACATTGAAAGTCAAGGATGGTAAATTTACTTTATGGAACTTATGATTTTTTGGTAACTTTGTTAGGTCATGAATTTAATCTAATAACATATATTGTTTATTATTATCTCATTTGGTTAATCATGAATTGTAAAACTACATGTATTTCTTGTGAAGGGGGCAGACCCAGTACAAGCTTCGGCTTCTTGTCTGACCTCCCCATACTATTATTTCAAGTTCCGTTAAAATGTTTACCTATTGTACAGTAACTCAACTTACATTATAGTATGGAAATAAAACCTGAAACCTGAAACCTGAAACCTGAAACAGCATTTTCTAAATGCAAATATTCGAAAAGTGTGAGAGAGTCTAAGAAAGTCCAAGCTGTTGTTTTTATAGTGTGATTTTGTAATTGGTTTCATTACTTGTCAATGCCACACTTTTGTCAAAATTCAATTTCGCACATGACTTGATAAGATCTTTTTCAATTTTCGACAAGATGCTAGAACCTAGTCCCGATCGGTAGTCAGTTTAGGCTGGCACAATTTGATCAGCGCATTTGAAATATTTGAACATTCACTCAATGTCCAAGTTTAGAATAATAGAATCATAACCTATTCTAAAATGCACAGTTCTATTTTGGAGCTCACTCCCTGAGACCATCGTAGCAATTATAAGGCCTGTGAGATCCAGGCAGACACTAGCCAAGTGCCTGTTTAGTTGGGAGTTAGCCTCTACTACACCAATGGCGTGTGCGCCATCTTTGCTGGCTCTCATTCCCATCTGGCGCCCATAGGAAAGCACACTTGTAAACAAAGCATGATGTTATTAAGTCTCAGACATATTGAAATTTCCTTCAGCTGTCTTTGAAGTGTACTTACATATGTACATATACTAAAAATAAAAAGCATGTTTTTTATTTGTTTTTCATTCTGAGTCTTATTGATTTTTGTTGTTGAGTGATTAAATATGATTGCTTGTAAGAGACAAATATGGAAATGAAACAAACATTGATAATATTGGCATTTGGCAGCATTGTTCGATGCAGTGGAGCACCAGGATTTGGATACAGCCAGACTGATCTTAGAAACTAACGGACTGGATGTCAATCAAGTCAACGAGGATGAATTCACAGCGCTGGACATTGCTGTAATGACCAATAACATGCCCATGGCCAGGCTTCTACTAACATGTGGAGCCAGAGAGAACCCAAGATGTAAGTTGAAAATTCAGGCTCAAAAATATACCCTCTCCCCCCTAAAAATAAACATGTATTGTTGTTAATTTAGTTCTTTTAATGTAAGCGGAGATTCTTTAAAAGCACCTATAGCACCGTAGCTTGCAAACTTGATGAGATTTGTGTTGAGAAGACAGGGCAGGAGTATCCAGTTGAAACCCAGATGAATGTTCATGGCACAAACTCATAGCATTAGATAGGGATTTAAATCCAAAGCTAGTTTGGGCATGGGTAGCATTTGAACTCAGGTCATGGAGGTACAAGGCAGACTTTTATGTCTCAATTTCAAGTCCATCAAAAGTCAACCACAATCACAGCCTTTATTCAGAGTTTACTTGAGACTGGATGACTTTTGATCGTAACGACTCGTGACAACTTGTGTTTGACTTGATTACAGCTCTGATTGAAGGTGAGGAAAGTAGCACTACAGCACCTACCTTGCTCCATATTTGATAGCAGGGTGTGTTTCACTCATGTGAAAAGTGGGGTAACAGAAAGAGAATCAGAATGAACAATAACCCCAGAAGCATACCTTAACCTGTCTTAAAGCTACAGTCCATCATTTGTAATTTGTGCATTTTGTTCGTTTGAAGCAACAAAAGAGTTCAAAATCTAATGAAGGATTCTGAGCAACTAACCTGATGAAGTTTCAGCTAAGCTTCAGCTGTACATTCCGAGAAAAACAGCATTCTAAGATCTCAATTTCAAATCAAAAGTTACTGAATCATGTTTTGAATTGTTTTGAATTGCAGCTATACGCGACGTCGCGCACTGATCCGACGAATTACAACAACCGCGCGCGCGTGTGCGTCGTTCCAATACTTGTGCGCGCTGCGCTGAATAACAAAACGAACTACTAATTTAAATTTTCCTACGGTGCTTCTTAAGAATCACCGTTGGAAATGCCTTCTTTCGTTGATTACTTCAAAATGACAGCTTCCCAGAAACAATAATTTCACAGGGAGTTTAGTTCCCTTACTATCTTTCAACCAAGTTTGTTTTTCAACAATAATTACGCCAGTTACTTTTCGGATGGCTGCAAATGATGGACTATAGCTTTAAGTAACATGCTTAAGTAACATGCTTAAGTAATTTGCTTAAGTAACATGATTGTTTTTCAACCTTGCTTCATCTCTGCCTCCTGGATAGGAACACTGTTATTAACAGAAAGCTTAGAAGGGAATTCTTTAGTTTTTTTCTTAATTCAGCATGGACACTCATATGTGTAATTTTTTGTTAATGATGACGTGGATAAGGATGAACCCTTACTAATAACGTGAACCTCCTTGAAACAATGTTTTTGCAGTTCTTATGAAAGATGCACGTGCCAGCAAACTCAACACGCTGATCAACGAGGCAGAAATACAGGTGCAGGAGATGACATCTCGCATTGTCAATACTGGACTGAACAGTGCAACAGGGCCAACTGGTTCCTCTAAGGTAGGCCACATTTCCTTCTCTTTGTAGTATCATATTTCACCCTTTAGTCAGGATTAATACCAATGATACTTGGTTTAGCTCATATCGGTGTATCCGTTTTGTACCACCAACGTTTCCTAAGAGCTTGTGAGAAATAATTCACAAGTTAACCCAAGTGGGACTCTAACCCAAGACCTCCTGCTTGCTAGTGCAGGTGTCTTCATCACTCCACCTCTAAGCTTGCCGAGATGGACTTGCCGGTTGCTTGGGTGTGTGGTCTGTGCTCAACCTCTCCTTATTATGGAGACCATGTCATTGGCCTCACACCGGCAGAGCACGTGGCATCATGGGGTGCAGACAGGTGCTTGCGAGCAGTAACTAAGTGATTCGGATACGGCTTTATGTACTCAATCATCATTACACGATTCATGTACTGGTATGATGTGCAAATATTGAGATTTTATAGGCATAAATGACCATTTTGTTTTCAATGAAAGTCTAACTGATGAACATTGAAACAATTAGTTACAGCACTTTGTCCCTATGGATTGAAAGACATCAGTTAGGCGTACATTATTGTGCTGATCAGCAGGGATCATTGTATGAAGTTGTTTTGATGTTCCCCGTCTCCACATTTTGTTTTGTTTGATTCAGGATTTGGAGAAACATTTGCGTGATTGGGAGTGGAGGTTCCGACTGCTGAAGAGAATGAAGGCTGGCTTTGAACATGCGAGTAAGTCATTCTCTGTGAAGCACAAAGAAACAACAAGAAAAACAATGACAAACAAAACACAACACAAAGTGGCGATCGTGTATCTACGGGCCCGGTTCCCTTTATAGGGAACAAAATCCACTTTTAAATTATTTGACCTACCAAACTAGTTGGCGACATTATGAACTTGCAGGTATGTCATAGATAAAGATCTTGGCGATCAAGTGACGAAAAATTTTGAAACTCGGTACATGCATAGAGCAACTCATCATGAATATACCCGAGAAATTTCATGACTATAAATTAAAGGGTTTTGGAATTATGGCTAATTAATTATGCATATGTATGAATGGTAATTGTGCTCTGTGTACACGATGTATATGGGAAGTTCAGTTTTCACTGCGCGGCAACCCGTAGTCCGATTTTTATGTTTTTGGTATCAAAAAAATGCGCAACGCTCGAGGCTTAAAAGTCATAACACCTCGGGTCGCGGAAAAAAAACATTCAAGGCTACCGCGGAAAAAGTTGGGGGGGGGGGACCCTTTTAGGGTTAAAGAAAAGCTTGTCTTTGGTTTGATTCCACCAATAGCCTGCTTGTTGATTTATGTGCTGATGTGCTCAAGTCATAACCAAACAAGTTATAACCATCAGGAAAACTCAGTTAACCTAACTTTGTGGCAGCCTTCACTTTGTTTGCATTGTATTAAAACAGTTAATAAATGTGATATGATGATGATATAACGGTGAATTGATACTCATTTACAGGAGTACCTGACCATCCTGCTTGTGTCATGCTAAGCACGGCCAGTAGCACTTCGCTCCAGGTTCGATTTGAAGAACCTCTCAATGCTAACGGTGCTGCTGTCACCAGATATAAAAGTAAGCTTCTCCAGCTCTTATTTCATATTAAGTTACTCCTTACTAATGTTTTACAAAGGATATTCCTGCAAACTTCTAAATAGTCTTTCATGCCAGACACCTGCATTCACTGTTAAGGGCATGTACTTATACATTATTTTTTGTACAATGGTTATTTGTCATGTGACACAAATGGAGCCAATTCGCTTACCAAGTGTGACAAAGCTGTTCCAGTTTTGTCTGATCAGGATTGTTACCTAATCACTTAATGTGGTGCTTATAAAGCGCTTTGTACCAAGTATTTAAAGCGCTTCACAATTAGTACCCCTGTTCATCAAGCTATGAGACCATTGTTTCTGTATCAGGTCGAGACCAGCCCAATTGGGTCTCAATTACCCTCAGAGGTACCTCAAGCTGGATTGAGAGAGGCATTTGTAGTAAATTGTCTTGCCCAAGAACACAAGGGCCATGCTGCAGGGTTCAAACCCATGTACCATGGCACATGAGTCGAACACTGTAACCATTGGACCACGGCACTTGTGAAAAAAGTCAAATGTAGTTACGCCATGTCTGAGAGTCTAGTTGATTTTTGAAAAAATGTATCTCATTCAAACTTGTAATAAAAATGTAGAAAAGAAAAGATGTGCATACTTCCTTTATCCCGTTTTCTTGATGATATTCTCAAATTAATTGTTTGTTTGTTTGTTTTCCAGTTGAGTGGAGTTGTTCGGAGGATTTGTGCCCTCTTGCCGGGGAGCACATTCTGTATGATGTGCGGTATCCATCTTACAGAATACATGGGCTCAGACAGGTACATAGGTCTCAATCATTACATTGTCAGAGAGGCAAGCGTGTAATGTTCCTGATGGCATTCAATAAAGTTACTCTGTCTCTATCTATCTCTATCACTAACTCTCAGATCTCAGCTAGCCATGTTAGTATGCACTGCCTTTCTGGAAATGTGTTTTTGGTTTTGTATATATTCATGTGGGGATTATGTGGTTACTTGACTTGATTTGTTATTTGCAGTACAAAAAATGTAACTTCTAAACCCAAGAGAGCATTTCTTGAGCACGCTTGTATGTTCTGCAGATGACAAGTTTTACTTTGTAGAAGTGAACATTTTCAGCAATGTAATATACATGCTTAGAACTTGGAAGATTTATAACATTGAAAAATATGAATCTCACGAAAGTTTCAGCAAATACCATATTTCCTTAAACTTTTGACTGGAACTGAATGTAGTTTTTATCATTGAGAACTGGGTGTATACTTCATGCACATTGCACCAACCGTACACTTTCTCTTGGCTAATGAGTGTGTCTTCTGTACTGTTACAGGGCGTTAAGTACTACGTTAGAGTATCCGCTTTCAACATGAAGGGTTTTGGGCCATCACAAACACCCACCCCACCTTTTGCAATACCATCAAGTAAGTGCCATATCTCTGTGCATTTTGGATACTCAAACCGGTGGCTAACTTCGGACTATTGAGAAGTAGATGCTGGCCATATGACCAACTCTGCCCAGACATACGGAATTAAGACTTCCATTTGGTGTTTATGAGGTTGCATGTTCAAGTTACATCAGTCAAATTATTTCTGGATTAAACCTTCTGTTGATAACAATTAAACCTAATCATTTTATTGGAATGTTTTGTTCGAATTTTCATAATGGTGATGAAGAAATAATGTTTCAATATTTTATATGCCTTAAATTAATCCCTTATCAAATTTACTCAGCTTTATGATGTTGTGCATATGTATGTTTTTTCTTGTAATGATTATATATTCTTGATACCCAGACTAAAAATATTCAACTGTTACACATTCATGTTCATTGCATTAGAACAAATTTGCACTTGGCTGAGAGCATTTTGTGCATTTTTTCTGCTTTCATCCACAAGGCCCTATTCTCAGTCACTGTCCCAATTCCAAGGTAGGTTACTTATTGATCCGGCTTCTATTCTCATGGCTATCTGACACGCTTTATTGATTCTCTCTCTCTCTCTCTACCGTCCATCCCCCCCCCCTAACCCAGGCTGGAGGGACATGCATGGCAATAAGTCGCGTTTCAGCGGTCGTCTCAACATGATTGACGATTTGTTCCAGCAGGTCCGAGACACCAGACCCACCGACTCGGGTGAAATCAAAAGTGAGTGTCTCTCGTGGTCCCTGTGGTTTGGCATTGCACTGACCAGGGAGGCCAATAAATGGCATAAAGTGTCCCAAAATTAAATTAGGTTGAACTATCATGGAAATCTGACCTGGTCATGTACCAGTTTCCACTGTCTAAAAACAAAAGATCAATTTTTTGCAGATATAATTCTCAGATGTTTTGATGGTGTATTGGCTGGTGTATTGAATTTATTTTGGTGTGTTATTTGTTGTTATATCTTTTTTTGTAGTGTTTAATACATTTACTGAACTGAATGTATTTTCCATAAATGGAAATTGAAATTTGTGCCCCCAACAAGAATGTATTATTCAGTCGTAATGACTGAAGATTGCATGATTATTTATAATTTTTTTTAAACTTGCATAGAAAATATAAAAACAATGGATGATTATTTTTAAAGTAAATAGTGCATGCATATTCAGTTTGGTCCATACTGTACATATGTAGTTACCTCAACCTGCATGTCTCTCTTACATGTCAGCACTTGTGAAGGGAGAAGTGTAGAGCCTTGTAATGAAAGAATAAGAAGATAAGGGATTTTTTTGGAATAATTTTAATTTCAGGAAGTTCACCTCGAGCATCTCCAAACCAGGTGCGACGGACAGTGAAAAAAAGCCTCAAGAATTTCTTCCAGTCAGCTCCAAAGTTTCAGAAACATTTAAAAAGGTGAGGATTTGGCTCTACAGTTTTGGTTTTCTTACCCCTTCAGTCACTGTACGACCCCAAACCGCCCAGCACCCGAAACCCCCCAGTAACCCAAACCACCCAGCACCCGAAACCCCCCAGCAACCCAAACCGCCCAGCACCCGAAACCCCCCAGCAACCCAAACCGCCCAGCACCCAAAACCCCCCAGCAACCCAAACAGCCCAGCACCTGAAACCCCCCAGCAACCCAAACAGCCCAGCACCTGAAACCCCCCAGCAACCCAAACAGCCCAGCACCCGAAACCCCCCAGCAACCCAAACCGCCCAGCACCCGAAACCCCCCAGCAACCCAAACCGCCCAGCACCCGAAACCCCCCAGCAACCCAAACCGCCCAGCACCCGAAACCCCCCAGCAACCCAAACAGCCCAGCACCCGAAACCCCCAGTAACCCAAACCACCCAGCACCCGAAACCCCCAGTAACCCAAACCACCCAGCACCCGAAACCCCCCAGTAACCCAAACCACCCAGCACCAGAAACCCCCCAGCAACCCAAACCGCCCAGCACCCCAAACCGCCTGAGCACTCTATGGTTTTATGGATTCATCGGTGAATAAACACAGTGTAATACCGGTACATTTAGGGCGGGTACTTTTGTGTTAATCAGATATTTCTTAAATAGGCAGAACATATTGAAGGGGTATTATAATAAAAGGTTTATTTTTTGGTACAGTGAAACTAGGTGATAAGGGAGTGTTATATTTTTCCGAGGTGAAGCCGAGTGTAAATAGTATACTCCATGGATTGCATTGAGAGGCTAGTTATATTACAACACTTGAAGTGTCAATTAGGTTGACCAATCAAATTGATAGATAAGATTGCTAAATCATGAATATGCATGACTTGACAATTGTGCTGTGTCTATTTTCTATCCAAGTCTTGGTTTTACATTTGATATTACCAGTCCATTGTTAACTTAATGTCCTTTTAATTGGCTTGGGTAATGCTTGTCATGACGTGACACAGGGGTGGTCTTTTTATGTGCTGAGCTTAATTGAGGATTGGGGCGCAGCTGTGAGATGTGCATTTGTTAAGTGTAGTCGCACTTCAATGTGACAGTGTAGGGGTGGCATATTTCTCAGGAAATAGGTGTATTTTATGGAGGATGAGTCTGTCATTCGCAGTGGTGTAAATGGTGCCCAAATTTAAGGGGTTCCTTATTTTCTGGGGGGCACTCATGATCAATGGATGGTTAAAAAGTTTGTTATCTGCCAAATTCTGATTGGGGGGGGGGGGGGGCCTACAGGCCTCAAGCGGGAGTTCGAGCGAGAGTGCTTGACCAACCCCCCGTCGTATTCAGGCCATTGGCCATCTGCTTTTATTATAGTGCCTTGTATTGTAATGTTTTTGTTTTCAGAGGAGTGTATCTTGCCTCGGTGATGTACAATGATGATAAGGTGCTGGTAACCAACGAGGATCAGCTTCCTATTGTAGAAGTGGATGAGACATTCTCCAGCAGTATCCATCAAGACTTCCTATGGTTCCTGAAGGTTAGCCTCCCCATTCTTTATCATATTTCCTCTTCGTGTGCTTAAACTCCCACTAAATCTCACAGGCATTGTTTTCAAGTTTGAGAGTCTAAAAAACTCTTTTCCAAGACTTATCCAGGGTCCCGAGGGAGAACAGTTCTTAGATAACTGATGGGGCTCTTCTGGTTAAAATGAAATGTCCGTCAATCAATCATTCAATCCGCTTAGAACAAGACACAGTCCATGGATGTTCCTAAGTAGGTGTTGAGTTACGTTTTCAAATACATGTAACGGATATTTTATATCCTGTTTGCCGCATCCATTTTCCCCCCAACACAAACAAGTGTAAATTCATGATATCCTTTGTTACTAGGCTAGTTTATAATGCTTGCACTGTTGGTGAAAGTACGTATCACATAAATGTAGAACTATTTACTGCAGCAAATTAGGATTAAAATGTATAGAATTGTAGGTATTAAATTTGTGGTCGTCTTTTTCTCCTGGAGTTACAAAGATAACTTGTAGGTGAAGTTTCAGTTTTTATAATCTGTATCATATGAATAGATTCTCAATTGACTAAATGATTCCTTCACCCCTCTGCTTCTCCAGGTTGCAGGGACCTGGGAGGATGTTGACCTCTTACGATCAGACTTAGAGAGGACCAGTGGTTCCTCCCCGGCTATTCTCTTCCGTGCTCGCTTGCTCCAGGCTGCCTCTCTCCTCCAGTCTGCCTTGGGCACCCAGGACCTCGGCCAGGTCTTCTATGAGCCTATGCGAGACAAGCATGGTATCATCATCATAACCATCATCAACCAAATCAGGGTAGGTCTCTAGAAACATTCCAAGCTACTATCATTGAACAAATATTGGGAAACAGGATGTAGAATATACAACTTGTTTGATTTCTGGATTCATGCCAAGGCTGACATATAGTTGCTGCTTCTGTTAAGTCATTGCACACTTACAAATCCCTGTGATTGTCACATTACTTATTAGAATAAAAACATATACTCAGCAGTTTCAGTATATGCAGCCATTCACATGTAGAGTTACTTTTTGAACTACTATGGAGCTACTTTTCAAATAAAACCTTTTCCTTTCTAAAACTTATTACTAATGACTAACTTAGATTTTAGCCATATTTGGCTTTGCATCCTGCATCAAAAATGTATCGAGTGGCAGAAATTTATTTTATATTTTTGAAATACGTTATAGCTCTGTAACATTGGTAATTTATTCAGCAGAGAAAGATGTAAACTTAGCGAGTGGCTTCTTTGTTTACAGGACCAACGGGTAATTCAGACGACATCATCTCTTAAATGGACCAACATAAATCGCATACAGAAACGGAAGTCAATCAACATGGACAACCCTTCAGCTGCCGAGATGCTGCTAGCCTCATTACATGTAAGTTGTCTAGCTTATCTCGTGCCTCCTGATTTGGATCTAATTCCCTCCTTAATTTTTCCATCTAGCTTTTTCTGATCACTCTTAGGTTTCGATTACAACAAAGTTTAGCCCTGGTGATTGTTTCAACTTGACCTTATTGCAACACCTTTAACTCTTGATCTCTTGCCATCAGGACCCCTGTGGTGCTGTCAGACTGTCTTTGCAAAAGTCTGCATTCATTTGATACTGAGCACAAATGCTTGGCTAAACCTGTTTGTTGAAATCAAGCTTCAAGTGTTTAACGAGAAATTAAAGTTCCTCTTATTCATGAGGGGTCTGTAATTTTCTGTAATCTTGAGTAGTTTTAGCACTGTCATACTTTCTGGAAAGTTATATATCTTTGTTGACTTCTGCCATTTTCACTATATTCTTTGGGAATGGCTGGGAATGATTTACCTTAACCTGAAATTAAAATCTTTCATTTTTTTTTTGGCCATGCAGGAGAAGATCTTATACCATCAAGTGAGCGGCATCAAACTGACCAAGGGTCTGTATATAGGCTTCCTGAAGCTGAGGAGCTCGGTGGATACGATACGGGTTCAGGTGCCAGAGAAGCTGCCTAGTGTGTTACCTCACATCAAGCTGAGAGACAATCCCAATGTATCACAGGAAGAGTGGGAGTGGCTTCATACACTGGATAATTGCCAGGTGGGTGTGGTCAATTCTACAATTGAAATAGAGCGAGCAATGAGCAGTGTTGTCTGTGAATCCACAAGTAAACTCAACTGTTGGCTACGTGCACAAGTACCCCCTCAACGGATAGAGAGGGAGAGTTAGGGGAGACCACTGGGAGAGACATACGAACACAATGCCGATGGTACTTGATGCTGAAGCGAAGATGCTGTGGCTTTGTGCACATTCAGAATACTTCAAGCCATATGCTTGCAAACCAGTACGCACACGCAATGTGCCCCGTCCACTGGGCTCTCAAAAGTGGTCAAAAAGCGTCATCTACCATTTGTGCATAGAATCCATAAGGAAGTATGCTGGAATCAACCCACAGCACCAGTATTCACCAGTATTAATGCTGAAGGCACTATTATTTACACTCATAAAGTGTTCCAAAGACTCCATTTCTGGGAATATGAAGCTCATGAGTAATGCCACACAAAGCCTTATTTACAGCACAAGCTGTCCTCACAGGTACCCATTAACTCCCACGTTGAGGGTAGTAGTGAGTGACTAAGTGTCTTGCCCCTGCACATATTCACTACAATCCCACATATGCAAGCTTGACTTGAACCCTACTACAGGCTTGACTGAACCCTCAACCCGTTTAACCTTTACAGATCCTGAGTTCAGTCTTATATAAGACCACAAGGCCATAGTACTCCACCACCTTTCGAGCCAGTATTTGCCAGTGAATTGACTATCTTGCAGCTGTTTTGACTCTTGTTGATATATACTGCCAATGAAAATAAAGACTTGTATAGATCAGTAACACATGAAAGAGTACACAGCTCTGCTTGTGCCATTGTTTAAACCTTTGACATTTATTTTGTGTCATTTGTGTCATTTTGTCCTTCAGTCCAAGAGAAATCCCACCAAGATCCAGGAGGAATTTCAGCATCTCTTGGCAGCGGGGACAAGAAAACTGTTGGTCAAGATGGGAGTAACGGAGGAGGAATCACTGACCTATAGACTGTGTGACCTGGAGGTCATCGAGATGAATGAGCAGGTCAGTACAGTTAAACTGCCTTTGGTTTTCTTTTTCACACTTACCCTCCCCTATCCTTCAAAATCCAACAGAGGGTTTAGGAGGATTTTGCGGAATTTATGTGGATTAGGATGATTCAAAAAGTTTCCTTGTAAAACTTCTCAGAGAGTTTGAATTGATGTGGTTCTTTAGGATATCAGCCCAGTGTTTGCAAAATTGTGAATTTGTAACAACACGTCAACTTTTCGTACTGCAAATATTTGTAACTGCAAAAGTATAACACATTTCAGATATGGCAAATTTTGTAGGGAATGTTTCATGACGTCAAACTGGCTTCACCTTTTCATTCGTGTGAAGTATGAACCGGCCTTGTCAGATTGTTGAGATCAGATATGTAAAGTCAGTTGCCATGTTTGATACTCATTTGGCCCTTTTTTTGTAACTGAATTGCACACAGGTGTCTGTGGTGCTACTGTTCCCTCCATCGGGTAGTGTGTGTCTGGGCCCTGGCACATCAGATGAGTGGATGGTCAGTAAAGACTATATATCCATCCCGGTACCTGTCTTTGAAATGGGTGAGTAGCAGTCAAAAGAACTCCAATGGAAATACATGCCATTCATACACTTTACATTGTTGCTGTTAGAACAATAGAAACCTCCAAACATAGCTTTTGTTTAACTGTAATTACACTTTATCTGCAAAAATACCCTTCTGGTGTTTGAACATTTTTAAGGACAAAAGACACACAAATTAATTTTGTGGTGTTGTATTTTGACACATAACATCTGAACTTTAGTATTTAGAAGCAATCAGTTTAGGCATCGGTGGGATTCGAACTTGGGTCGCAGATGTGGAAGATAAAAAAAATACCACTGCGCCAATGTTTAGGATTTGTAGGTACCCTCTCACTATTTATTCAAATTTTTATTTCTGAACATTGTTTTGGTCATAGTTCACATGACGACGTACCAGGCTGAGTTCATCCGTCGTTTCACCCGTCTGTCTTCCATCCTTGAGATCGACTCACTCATCGCTCAGCAGACTCTGAGAGAAGCCTTCTCATCCAATGAGGTCAATGATGCTAAGCAGAGACAGCAGCAAGTGCTGGACTACCAACAGGTTAGTCCTGCTTAGATTGTCTTATGGTGTTTAATCTTGTAGTCCCGTTCCATCTCAAGACGCCCTGCCTATTACTCCTTACCCCGTCCCCTAACCACCGTTGCATCCTTTGGTTTGATTATTTCATCAAGGAGTAAATACAGTGAAGTAAACTGCTAATGCAAAAATTAACTTATAACAATCAGAATGTCTTCACCAATTTCTTCAGTCTGTTTTCAAGGCACTTTTACAACATAGTTGTGGGCTGGGTGGCTTTGTTTTTTAAGAAAGGCTCGAAGTAAACTTTTGATAAGCTGATTCTTTTGTTTTAACTTTCAGCCTTTATTAAAAAAAATTGCTTATTTATAAAGCTGTGATTGAGCTCTATCATGAACTCTTTGCATTACCTCCATGTGATCTCTACATTAATTACATTTATAATCTTTGATGTTGACATTCCAAATTCTAAATTTGTATACAATTCCAAATTATCTGCTTCTTGTAGTTGAAAGGCCCACATCAAATGACAGTGTACATGTCACCCAAGGCGCTTAACACTTCCACAAATTGTGAATAGCTTGTTATAATTTGTGTTCCCAACCCCCAGGAACTAGAGACAACATGGAAAGGGATGCGATGGATCATGGATGTGCTGCAGTATGCACGAGACAAGCAGCTCAGAGGCGGCGTGCCCCTCTCGGTCCTCTATGCACCCCCGCCATCACCAGTAGACTCTCCCATGGATGTCATCAATGACATGGAGACCATATTTGATGGTGAGGCTACTGAACAATTTGAATATGTTACACCTGACCAACTTTGTGAAAATTCAGTCAGATGTTGTCCCAGTGTGTTGCGTCATACCCATCTAAAGTGGAAACATTCAAATGTTATTTGTTGAATTCATTTCATCTTTGAATAGTAGTTTCAAATTTACGTTCAAAGTTGATGTAGTTTTATATTGATTGGGAAAATTAAGCTTCCAACTTTAGTATACTTATACAAACTTTTTATGTTTAATCCCAAATGTAAAGCTTCCAGTTTTTTCTTTACTATATGAAGTTTGTTTTATTTTTTTAATGAAGTAAACAACTCAAGTTTGATTCAAAGTCGGAATTGATCTCATATTTCATACAACTGTTTCAAATCATCTTAACTTAAAAAAAAATGAAGAAAATAAAATCTTTTCCTATTGGAAACACACTTTCCCTAAATAGGACATTTTGGGTATGGCTAGTGTTATGATATGATGAGAACATCAAAAGCAGCACCAACATTATGATTAAACCATTGTGTGCTTTCATCATGTTACTTTCGAAAACAGACAGGTGCAGCCTTCAGATCCCTGACAATGCCCAGACTCAGCCCATACAATCCCTGAACCTCAGTAAGGACAGCAAACCATCCACTGGTATCCTGAGAGTCTTCCCTGATTATAACTCTGGTCTCGCTAAAGGAACCAGTATAAAGGTAGGCAGGCTTGTTAACCCCCCTCCTCCCCCCTATTTCCATCCCGTATAACTTGTGACTGGTCTAAATTGACTTATGATTTACTTGTGATCGAACTTGTAAACTGACTTGTGATTTGACTTGTGAATTGACTTGTAATTTAATTAGGATCGGGGTTGTGATGTTTCACAAGTAATTAAACTATAAGAGTGATTTTGTCCTAGGTGTGTTGGAAGAAGCTTCTGTAGAAAACTGCCCACTCAATTTCTCTATTGTCATGTCATTCACTTGCAGTTGCATGTCACGAGTAAGACAACATGTCGTGAGATTGTCAACCTTGTCATTCAGCAGCTAAACAAGGCAGTGGAGTCCCACGGTCTGGACTCGCCGCTCTATCTTGAGGATCAATGGAGTGAATTCTGCCTGGTAGCCATCATTAGTAATAAGGAGTACCAGCTGAGGGACGACCACTGTCCATTACAGCTGCAGAACCCTTGGACCAAAGGCCACCTCTATGTGCGAACCAAAGACAACGGTAGTAATTTATTGAGCACTGGACCGTCCACAGCGGTATAAACTCAGGCTAGACTTAAAAGAACAGAGACTGGAGTAACCTGGCAGACAAAAAAGGGGCTAATTTCATGGATCTGCTTAACAGTTAGCAGGAAAGTTGTCCTAATTATAGCCCCCCAAAATGGGCTGAAGTTTAGCAGTTTTGTACAGCATGGGGAACATCTCTGACACTTAAATTTTAAAACTGCCGCTATCACTGCCAGGTTCATTAGGGATACAGTTTTGAAATACCTTCACATCTGCCAAGTCTGCTCAGTATGTAAAAAGCTGTGAAGTAAATTCAAGTGATGTTTTCACACAAAAGAAAAATAATCAGTGAAATTACAGCCACACATGGCATCTACTTTGATAATATATTATAAGAAATGGAGATTGTGTGGTGTTAAATCAAGCCTTCCTTGATATACTATAGATAGAAATCTTTATAAGGTTTAGAGTGTGCAATATTTACCAGAATATACCTGCCCACTTAACGTTACCATTTTTATCAAGAGAAAGATGTTTTTTTATTGTACAGCTTTCATAGTTGAAATAATTCTCTTTTCCCATATCTTGATTGGGACTTGCTTCCTTGACTTAATAGATCATGTGATCCAATCTGAAGTCTCTAGATGACCTTGTTTCTGAAGTTTTCTACAGTTTCTTGAAATATATTGTCAGTTCATTCTATATAGCCAAAATATGGTACCTTAGGGAGACATTAATATTCCCATGCAAAAATAAAAGTCTTCTTAAAAGTTGTCTTGTAAATAACTCTATTTGTAAATACTTCCTCCCCAAACCTTATAATTATACTATTCTTGACCTAAGGAATCATTTTAGGCAACTTGCGATGGCGAAATTGGTTCTAGAAATGGTAGTTAAATCATGTCTCCCTAATGACCAATGTCGACCGTTTTGTAAACTAATTTACTTGAGAGTGTGTCCCTGAGGTACCATTGGTTGTTGTTTCAGGAAGGAAGTTGACAGTCATCCTGTGCTAGCTTTAGCTTTACCTGTTTATAAAGCACATGTTCCGAGACCAAAGTGGTCGGGACAAATGCTCAAAAAGGCAAGAAATCCAGGTGCTGGAAATAGAAGCCTTTTCGTCTATTGGGAAACTTTTTGGGGTCGGTGTACTTTTCATTTAAAATAATTACATGTAAGTGTGCTTGATAGGTAACATGGTACTGTATGCATATATATAGTTTTTGCTAATCGGGTTGACCATAAGAACTGATACATATTGTTACTGGTTCATTTCAAGATGAATCTGTGTGCCAATAGTACAACCCCAGTGATCAAATTACATAACCTTTACTTTATGAAAAATGGGACTCGAGACGGACTGGGGTCTGAGTCACGAGTCATACAACTCTGATTATAACACATGATTTTGCCTCAGGAAAATGGAACTCTGGAACATATCACCGGGGGAAGCTAGTTTTAATTAACCACTTAAAGCAGTCAATAATTGCATTCTAATATTAGGTATATATTGATTACCTGAACAAACACCCAGTGTTTAATTTGCTTATGGGCCCAAGCGAGAAGCAAAGTGCAATAGTGCAATAGTGCTAGCTATTTATGCTTTAACCACCTGTGGGTGACATATTATAGATTTACTTAAAGTAGAGCTTTGTCTAGATTAATTGGATATGGCTGGCAAGAACCAAATGCCTTTGGAAAAGCGCACATGTTATTGGCAGCCATATGCAGCGCAACAAAATTGGTCACAAACCTTTTTGAGGTCCAAATCTGTAATGCACTCTTAGTCCATACAAGGTACAACTTTAGTCCTTTTTTGTACTGAGGTACTAAGTAGCTTCCTCAGATGTGTCACAAAATGAAATAAATATTCATGTTTAACTTATATCTTTATTTAAAGTAGTCACCGTGCAGTAACAACCAAAAATCGCCAGTCAAAAATGTACTTCAGTTCAAATGCTCGGCTTCATTTCCAAGATACTTTATGCTGCCATAGACTGGTATGAATTTAAAATCAAACTGTGTGTGCTTATATTTGCAGTCATACTACTTCCATGGTGAAACAATTATTTATTTATTTGATCAATTTCGATCTCGATTTGTTCTCCCTTAATTTGTGTCTGTCATGTTGGTGAATCTTTGAGTATAAAGAAACAGAGAGAAAAGTCCCTTCTTATTTATTTGTTTAATTTATTTTGAATCATCCAAAAAAAATATACATAATCCTGTTTGTATTATTATCGATAGATTATTTCAGGGTCATGTTCCCAACAATCGATTCATTGACCGGAAGTACATAGCAATCGTTAACATCCCTCAGTAAACAGTGCAATGACACTAACATTTAAGTAACCTTGGTGAAAGATTTTTTGTCAGGCAATGCCCAGGTTTTCCAGCAACCATTGTAATTTTTTTAAGGGATCGTGTAGTGGAAATTAGTGCACTTTGTTGATATGTTGTTGCCAAAGTTTGCTAAGGAATCTTATCAGGTTCTGTAAAGAATGTTAATAAAAAAGTGCATTTGTTTGTGCTTCCTATAAACTTCTGAATCCCCCCCCCCCCCAAAAAAAGTGTGCTCCTCTCAGTTCTTATTTAGAAGTCTAATTTTCAGGGTCCAGAGAGTTAAATAAATGTGACTTTTTAGACGAAATAAGTAAACATGGGTTATACAGAACTAAAGTAAGCTGTACTGACATGACTGAGGGAATTTACATTCGTGATACGAAGTTCCTTCCTTTTTGAGTGCAAATTGTGTTCCCATTGTAACAATAATTATGTAATGTATTGTAATATTTAATATATTGTAAAGTGTAAATTCGTGTACCAAGAGAAAGTTGTATCATAGAATGTAAATAAAAGACTACCAGAGTTTGTTTTAAGCACCTCCGACAAGAATTGTACAGATGGTATTTATTAGAGAAGCACATGACAAAATTCAATAAAAGTAATGATTTGTGTGCGATTTTATAAGAAGGAAATCTGTGACGAGTATTGTGTATTATGTGTTGAAATGTAACGTTTTTATTTGTTAGGTAATATTTTTTTGTGAATGTTAATCACACTATAGCAAGAAATTCTACCCCCTCATATCAAAAGCTTTTCAATTTGCGGGTTGGTTGGCCGGGAAGAGACAAGGTTTGCCTGTCCCATTTCTGTACATTTGATATCGCAGTGTTCTCTAATTTATTCTGCCACATACACTTCATCTTTGTTGATGGTGGGTTTATAACTACATTTCTTCTCCTTTTTGTATTTATTTGTTTCTAATATTTATCCAGGGTAGCCTATATTCACCTTTCGGTGGTCTTCCATAGGGCCCTGACATCGATAAAAATGATCAAAACATAAATTTAAACTTTATAAAAACAAATTTTGTAAAATATAAAACAATTAAAATGAGCAAAAGTGAAAATAAGTAAATTAAGAGAATTACACACAAATTAGAAGACGATAACAACGTAACAAAATACGTAAACATAAAAAGGTAAAAGGTGCAACGTAATACACAAACAATGACGTAAACAATTACAAGAGCACATAACACAAATAGACAAATACTGAGTACCAAAATATTAAAACAGTAAGACTCCGTAAAATTAAAAGCACTTAAAAAAAGATGCCCACAGTAAAAGTTTACAGGGCACTAAAAATCATTAAAATACTATAAGACCCAAAAATACAAATATACAAAAACCGTACTAAAAGCACAAATAAAAAAACAAGAAATGTATACAAGGACCCCACAAAAAGACACAAAACACATAAAAACATTAAAATACCAAAAAAAAGAAAAAAGAAAGCCGAATAAAAATCACCCAAAAAATAATCAGCGAGCTAAAACTCTTTTGCTTTTAAAAAGATGATTTTAAAGATGTTTTAAAGCTAGCAAGCGATGGTGCTGATTTAATAGACTGGTCCAGGTTATTCCAAACAGAAATTCCACAGTAAAAGGGCTGTGTCTGAGGCAATCGGTTTTCAACTTTGGAACCACTAGTGAGCTCATAGCATGTTGCGTGTTATAGCTATGAAGCAGGTTTATTTGAACGAAATCTTTTGTCAAAATACAGGCAGGACAAATCGTTGCTTTAAAGGCATCCAAAAGATCACGAAATAATTCGTTCAACGGGGTGTAGAAATTCTTACTCAAGACAATTCTTGCAGCCCGTTTCTGAAGTTTTTTCAAGTTTGCTGTTTACATTCGGTATCTGTTTGACCAAATCTGGGCACAGTAATCAAAGTGAGGTTGTACGAATTGTAAAGGAGCTTCAGGCACTCCAAAAGGAACGTATGGTTTGACCCTTCGAAGCATACCTATCTTCGAAAAATGAATCGATTAAACAGTTTTACAAACCTCATCAAACCTCATTCCGAGCATAAGTTATCGTCAATTAACAGTCAGAGGCACTTTAACAACCTTAACTCGTTTCAGTAAAACAAATATAGTAGCGATCACATTAAAATTATAAATACGATTTACTTTAGCCTTGGAACAAATTAACATAACTTTTATTTGATTCGTGGGTGTTTCTTGGGATGGAGGGGGCACCGGGTCAAAAATACTGTTCAAAAGTGGGGGCCCTTCAATTTCATGAGGCGCGTCTAGTTCACGCTGACACGAATTTCATGCACTATCCTATATTAGTGAACCACACGTGACCGTGTTTCAGCCAACCAGGACGAAGAACCAGCAAGAGGTGTGTTAAAAAACAAATTATGGGGACTTGGCATAATTAGGAGACAGAAAGTCTGGAAAATCAAAACTTCAAACAAACAAAAACTACTGAAAACGACTAGTGTATAGTGAGTGGATTTCAGTAATGAAATGCATGCTTCATGTTGACAGTGAGACGGGGTGTTTTTATGATGAGATGGAAGCGCATTCCAGCTTTATTGCACTCCTATGATTTGAAGATCTGTCTCCCAGATTCTGACTTGAACTTGAATCCGCCAAGAGGCTCCGCTCTAGTTCCAAAGATCTTCTCACTCCATATCCAGTTATCATTACAATATGGTCAACGTGCCTTCCAATACACTGCTCCCAAACTACAACGATTTCTCAAACCATTTCAAAAACTGTCCTACCGCGAGCAATTCAAACTATTGTTAAAAGTCACCTTACTTACACAAGCTCACAAAGACTTACATGTATTATGTAAGCTATAAGAACTATGATGTTTCCAGAAGTGTTAGATCGTGTACGGTGGGAATTATTGTATACTTTGATAACATTTCCAGTTAAATAAAAAGGTGCTATTCCAGTTAAACATTTAGTTGTATGTAAGGTAATCTAATGTTCACTACGCAAGAGGGATAGATGTTCTTTTAGGTATTAAGTTTGAGTACCGTGTACCGCGTACCGCGGCCGGTATATGATTTTTCATCCACATTTCATACTTTTTATCGATTCACAATCTCATCCTTGTATTAAAGGGAATATACAACATTTGCAAACATCGAAAAATAGAACTACCAACTTGAAGTTTTTACGAAATACCTTACTAGGATGTTGGTAAATGACAGTCTAAAGCATCCTGTAAAATTATGGCACCTGGTGTGAAGTCATTTTCAAGAAAATGGGTATTTTTGTATAAATTTCCAACGGTGGTCGGCCGACCACCGTTGGAAAAACCTAACTATTTTTCAGCCTCTCCTCTAAATTCACCATTTTATTCAGTTCAAATTTTGTTTGCTATTGGTTACATGTTTATGAACGGGTGCAGGCCAGGTAGACTGGTTCCCTTACCTTACAATTTTCCGGCATCTATAAATTGATCCATTTTATCTTTAGTGAAGTCAGGGAACCAGACTACTCCACCATTTGTGTTTTTCTTGGATTTTCAGCATTTTCGAACACAAAACTTCAAACATGTCAGTGTAACAATATTTGATCTATTATAGTAACCCCTCAACTAGTTCATTTCTGAAAAATTACAGCAAAAGCCAATGATGTACATGTACATTCCCTTTAATTTAGAAAATCAGTATTTGTTTTGTTCTGCGAGGCTGTTGCTGATGATCGGGGGTCAGATAAGTTAATTTCAATCAACAACATGCGTTGTTTACCTCCGCCAAAAATTTGGGCGGTGATGTTCCATCCCACAGCAACTTTTTCATGTTTTCAACGCGTGGGAATTCGTTACATATTCATTAAGGCTTTGCTGCGCGAACGTCAACAATCGCCTAACTACTCATGCATAGACTTTGACTCTCGTACTGTCGTACAGTGACCGCCGGTACAGGCTGATGGTGTTCGTCAAGATACTAAACAGTGATTGGATATTATTTCAAACGTCATGCATACAGATCATCAACGGCGCTTCTAGTGTGTTGTGCTTGCGTCATTAAGTATCGTTTACCCATAACTCCGTGCGCTTTTGTATGAGATTCTGCGAGAGAGCTGGATTAGTCTGTACCGGTGACTTGTGGGTACGAGCTAAACTTACGCGCGGCGCGGACCAACCATATCTGCGCGGCATAAAATACTATACTCTCTCTACTATATATACTGAACGTTACAGAAGAAAACCGTTGTGATGTCGACTGAGAACTGATGCTCGACTCTTATTTTTCAACATGATGTTCGACTTAAATACCACCCCTGCCCAGCTTATAATGGTCTACAAGGTCTGCAGTCGTCACCGTCGTGGCTTCTGCGACAAAGTAGCGTCGTTTTTCCCTCTGTGACGACTACAGAAGACCGGCTAAATTGTCGGAACTTTTTAGGTTTGGTGCGTCAATAGAGGACCATGTATGTTTTCGATTTGTGTCGTAATTTTTCTTCGGAGTTGTGCCCACTTTCTTCATGTTTATTCCACCAAAAGTCGAACTAGGATTTTCTCCATATCTTCAGTGAACCCTCTCACAACAGATGAGCAAGAGTGCTTCGTTTCTAGACCAAATAACGGCGGGTGATTGGAAAAATATGGAGTTGTTCAGTGTGAGTATTTTCGAAACTGGCTTTGAAACCGGTTTCCCATAGTCCTACGTTTACATTACACGCACGTATAAGGGTGTGGGTACGTACGGTGTGAATGGCGGGTCAGACTGGAACTGGTTGGGACTGGATCTGTGCCATTGCCATTTTGTGTACGTCGTATCTGTTCAGTGTTTATTTCGAAGTTGCATTGTCATGATTGTGTAGTCAGGCACTCAGTTGTGCAGTGGCTGTATTGACATTCATTTACATTTATTTCATTTTTCGGGATAGGCCTGCAGTACTACAAACAACAACATTAAATACTGAGAAATACACACATGACACATGAACATTTTAGACAAAACATAGGGCCTACACACACAGTATGCCACTGTCGGCTCCTGCTGGATTACCCAAAGAAACACGGTTTCTGTCGAGGGGCTCTCCAACTGATTAAATATGACACACTAAAATTTAAACAACATGAACAGTGTTTAGAAAGTATCACTATGTAAAACTTTAAAGAATTGAAATAATTAAACAAGCCCTTAAATGAATACAACTTTGAATAAAACAAAACATTGCATTAAATTGCTATGTATACAGTAAATGAGTAAACATAATAAAATGATTTGTTACTTATACTATAGTACTTTTAGTAGGCTCTACAGGCATAAAGTGGGCTACTGAAGAATAATAAATAGATAATGATAAATAATACCAGTGAAAGCAAACAATCAAACAAACACCCCAACATTAAACAAACACCCCAACAAACAAAAACATACAAACACCAACAAAACAAACAAACAAACATATTGACGGGGAGTTTTTACCGTGTAGTCTATTTTACTTTTTAGAGAGATGTACCATACCAAGTGGTTTGATCCAGAAAACAAGTTTAAATTCATTTCATTGCAATACAACATTTTATCGTTTTAATAGATCCCCCCCCCCCAAAAAAAAATAATGTTAGTTCTGCTTCCGACATGGCACGCAAAAATAGGGTAGGTAGGTAGGGAATTTTAATTGTTTTTGCCAATTTTGTGTGTGTACAATCATATGGAGGCGTCTGCGTGCAGTCGAGTGTAAAAGTTATAAATTGATGGTTTTGGGCGTTTTTGTTGTTGTTCTGAAACAATGTTGCATCATGACGCTACTTTCGAAACTGAAAAAAAGGCATGTTTTTATTTGCTTATTTTGTACCTTAGAGAGTATAGTTTCATGTGAGAACTGTAAGGAATATTTTGACAAAGTCTTTATTAAGAGAGATGTGTAGGCAAATGTGTGGCCAACTTAGTGAATTTTTACATTTCGTTGCATGTTGACGCCCTCAACCAATGCGTGACAGTACAAATTCACTAAGTTGGCCACACAGTTGCGTACAAATCTCTCTTAAAGACTTTATCAACATATTCCTTACAGTTCTCACATGAAAGTATACTTTCTGAGGCACTAGATTTATAAGCAAAAAAATTGTCTTTTTTTCGGTTTCGAAAGTAGCGTCAGGTTGTTCCATTTTTTCCCTCATTTTTCCCATTCAAAAAATTAGGGTAGGGGCTGTCACTGTGTCACTAATACTAAAATAGGGTAGGTAGAGATTGTTGTCGAGATTGTGAGCTGAATGGGAAATTCCGTTGAAATCAAATAACCGTTATTTGGTTTGAAAAAAATTAGGACCGATTACCAGATTTTGAAATCTCTGATTTCTCCCAGGATTAGTTGGTATGCATAAAATAAATTAGCAACCTTAAACACATGAAACTGTTGTCCAGACATGTACAGATAATCTATTCAACTGTACGGTCTTTTCTTCCCCAACAGTCTCCTATCTTCAAGTCCTTTGTGGCTGGCTCCCTAAGTGGGACCTGCTCCACTGTCTTGCTGCAACCCTTAGACCTAGTCAAGACTCGGATCCAGTCGCCGGCTGTGCTTGAGCACAACCACCGAGGGATCCTGTACACCATCAGCAATGTTATCCGCCATGAGAAGATCCTCGGTCTATGGAGAGGTGTTGTTCCTGTGAGTAGTTGGTGTTTTCCTTAAGGAATTGTGGAAGGAGGTAGCGCACTAAACCCCTTTTGCCATTTCCACTCAAATTGTGCTGCCTTGCTCAACTTTGTTTTTGTTTTTTTGTTTTTTTTGGTAACCCACTTCACATCACTTTTATTAACTATTAACTATAGCAGGCATATTTGCCATCTAAAAGGGTGTTGTTCAGAAAGCCTCCTTTGCTCTACAAGCTGTGCCTTCAGCAATCATGATCAAGCTTTAACCTTTGCCAGAAATGAATTTCCATTGATTCGTTTCCAAATGATGGAATATTACAAAGGTAGCTGCAACTTAAAGGAGGTTTGGTAATTTTTAATTAAGCAATAACGCCAAAGGTGTCTGGTGGTCAAAATGTCCAGATAAAAAAACGGTGTAGCATTTGTTCTTAGGAATGTTGCCATTACAAAACAGTGTGTGGGCTCTAAGGCTAAAGATAACCAGGCAGCCCATTGTACTTCATAAATTTGGCACTTTCAACAAATCGGTGGGTGAAAAATTGCCAAACCCACCGCTAGGCATTTAAAGCCCCTTGTGGATGGCAAAAAGGCATATTCTGACCTACTTTGTGGCGTGTGATTTTCATTCCGATAACAGCTGTTTTGTCCTAAATATAGAGCCCTTATTGGACCAGATAGTCTCTTATGCAGTCTCTACAACCTTTGACCTGTGACTGTGCTGAGTTTGCATACTTGTGAGCCTCCATGAAGTAATAATATTGTTTGCGTTGCGTGATAGCAAATGATTGTGGTGAGCAAACTGTTTGCCTAAGATGACATGGTCAACCTTTGGAGTGAGATAAATAAAAATTTGCATATAATACACAGCCTTTGAACAGTGTTTGAACCCTAACCTTCCACGCACTTTTGCAGGGAGCTTTTCTGTAACTGAAACTTCAAAATTCCAAATTCCTGTGCAGCAACCTAATGGCAAACTCCTAACATCAGACATGCAACTTTTCCTCGGATAAGCTGATTTCCTCGTTTTCACTTCACACTTATGCCATTAAAAATTGAAAAACAGTGTACAAAGTCTTGTAAAGATTGGAGTTTCCTCGTTTTTTTGTTTCTTCCAAGTTGCATGCCTGTAACATACAACATGTAACTACATTTGTAATTCTTGAACAAAATTGACATCAGATTGCTTGATAGTTTTGTACTGTTTGGTTCCATATTCACTAAAACGAAGGAAAATAAGGTTGTATAATTGGGCTGTTCAGGAAGTAAAATACAGTTCATGGTGTACCAGATTTCACGCATGAATCATAGTCTGGAGAATTGAAACAAAAATATCTGTCAAAAGTTACAAGAAGTTTGTTGATTGACTTGTCTTGGTACACCATTTTCATTTGGCCCAGTGTGGATCAACAATGCTTCTGACATTGAAACTGCCATCAGGATTGAAGTTTTTCACACTCTTTTTACCTTGAATTGTGTTATGTAAAATGTTCATGGTCAGAATAAGGACTTTGTAGAGTGACGGGTATACCAGTCCTTGCTGACTTCAACCTTGTGTCAATACACTGTGAGTGTTATGACATCCAAGGCCCAGTGCACGCATTTAATTTACTGTACATGAGACCACTCAAAATGGGTTCCAAGGATACATGTACTTTGGGCACATATTGATTTTTGCCAGCACGTACAGTCATACATGTACAAGGACAAAGTGATAACAATACACATGGAGGTACATGTATTGGTGACCTGTGTAGAACACATGCGCATTAACCTTAACTCCCTTGGCATTTTGCGAGTATGCAACCTCAATCCTCCAAAATCCTCCAACTGCCTCCATGTAATAATTGTATACAGCCTCTTATTGTGCAAAATATTCCGTTATGTCTTGAATGTGGTCCTTGGAGGGATGACCACTTCCTCAATCCTGCAAAATCCTCCAGCAATCACTGCCAATATTTTGACGCTGAGCCAGTGACATCCTGGAGCAGTACGGAGGATTTCAAGCATAATCCAGGGATTCCAGGCATATATTTATGCATGGCTGAGCATAAACAACACAAGGTCCAACCCAAGACCTTGACACAGTGCATCCTCCAAATTCAGCCACACATTTTCGCCATATAGCCTCAATCCTGCAAAATCCTCCATTTTACAAAGAGGAATTTGGAGGATTTAGGAATGTTAGGGTTAAGTGACCCCGTCCATGACCTTGTATGCAGTTAAGCAAGGGTTGAGGTGAGGAAATGATTTGTGGATTTGGTTGGATGCACATGAACCGACTAGCACAACCTTTGTGTGTATCCGATATTTGTCATTGAGACAAAGTTAACAGTATTTACTTAATTATTTATTTTTCTATATCTCTATATGCAGAGTGTCTCAAGAACAGTTCCCGGTGTGGGGTTTTACTTCTGTTCCCTTCATACACTCAAGACAAAAACAGGGTGAGTTGAAACATTGACATTTTGAGCCTTTCTTTTTGCAATTTCGTGAAAAGGTTGTAGGTCATTTTCATTGGAAGTGAGGATGTTATTATGTGATTTGGTTACAGATGGACAGATCCCAATCCTCTACAAGCCATATCCCTAGGCATGGTGGCACGCTGCATTGCCGGGGGTATCATGCTTCCTGTAACAGTCGTCAAAACTCGCTATGAGGTGAGTCAGACAGTGGCCTGAGAAGTTACTTGGCTGTAGTTTGAAGGAGTTTACCTAGGAGGAGTACAGAAAACCGAAAATTCTGCAAGTCTGAGAATAAAAAGCAAAGGGTCAGGAAAATAAGCATGCTAAATTATTGTCTTCAACTGCTCACAATAATTTATTGCTCAGTGATAGCACGTTCCAAAACTAGGCAGATGACAGCCACAAAAATGTCCATGTTTTGCGAGATTTTGGTTTGGTGCATTTACTTAAAGTCATGCGAGTTTTCAGCAGAAATAACCAATAAGTTACATACATGTATTTGCTACGTATGCTTCTTGTTTCAGAGCAATGCTTACGGCTACAAGTCTGTCAGAGGAGCATTGAAAAGCATCTACAAAACTGAGGGCACAAAAGGTAAGATATTGGTACACTCTTTTACTGAGAGGCGTTGGAATGACAACACTGAGAAAGAGCTAAAGTACTGTGTTCTGTGAAAATAATGGAAAAATAAAGAATGATGAATTAATGATGATACAAGTTAAAAACATGTCTATTTTTACACCATACATGACTTTGTTTTTGTGGAATCACTGGAAATCACTGTCCCTATATAATGGAGGTTCTTGTTCTCTATGTTGGTTGTGGATGAAATGTACTGGGCTCAGTTTAATCAGTCATTCAGCCTCATGACTCATATCATCAATCCTGTTCAGCCTCAATCCTCCAAAATCCAGCACCTGTTTGCAGTATTTCTTATGGCTTCAAGATTGTACAACCGAGCCACAACTACTTGACACATAGCTTGATGTCCCATGAAAGTTGAATAAGCCCAAAAATGTGCTATTAATTTGTACTGCATCGAGTTTTATTTTAAAGTTGGTCATTTGTTCCCAAATCATCATTTTGTTCAGGTATTTCACTTTCTATATATTCCCTCATTTTCCCCCAGGCCTCTTCAGCGGGATGATAGCCACCCTGATGCGCGATGCCCCCTTCTCTGGCATCTACCTGGTGTTTTACACACAGACTAAGAAAGCCATCCCACCAGGTAGGTTAACCAGGACATTTTTCCTTATCACACGGCGGTACTCCCTTTATATTGGCACCTGTCAGGCAACACTGGCACATATTTCCAGTTTTACAATCCAAAAGGTAACCAACGACACCTGACGTCTTCTCTCAGAATTTTAAAGCAACCACACTCAGGATGGTGCATTCAGTCAAACGTAACCCTATTGAGCTTCGTTGGCCGCCTGCAGATTGTCAAGTTGGGAATATGTGGCATTTTGCCAGAAGGGTTTTGCATCCTGCAAAGAAACCAGGTATACAGCACTCAGTCATGCAAGGAGGAATTGTTTTGAAATGTGCTGTTGGTTGTCAACAAAGAGTGAATTGTTCATTAATGTAGCAACCATTTGCACCCGAACACTATTTATTTTAAGGTTGAATGCTGTGTGTGGTTGATGTTGCATCTTGCAAATCCTTTCAGTTAACAGTGTGCCAGTATAAATGGTATCGCCCAAGGCAGGTAACAGGTAGGGAGCTACAGAAACGTCATTTGTACACCACACACTAATCCAACATTTTCTTTTACATTGACAAAATTTGAACTTTTAGGTATTACATGACAATCTCCCGGGGAACGTTTGCAATCCACAACGCACGGATCCAAATTCCACCATTGATGCCGACTGACCTATGAAGACGCAGCGTTCCAAAAAACTCGACAAACATTGCCACTCCCTGTTGGTGCTGTTGCTTAGCTATGTGGTTTGTAAGATACAAAGACAAACGGTTCAAGACCCAAGCCTTCCGTAGATGAACTGGCCAGGTGAAAGGTTGGGGCTTCCCCCCTCAACTAAATTACGGGCGGTAAGGAAAGAAATCTGTGGTCGGATGGTGTGATGAAGAACCACTGGATGTAATTACGGATGAACCTCGTCATTGCCTCATGGCATTTTGGTGTGTATGACTTCAATGAAACTTTGTCAGGAAATAAGCCTCCCCTCCCAAGGTAAAACGTGTATGTGTCAATGACAACAATGTATAAACCTATCAGACCAAATGTAGGTGCTCACAAAGTGCAACCTGATGATCATTTACCCTCTCTCTCTCTCTCTCTCTCTCTATATATATATATCCTGTTACCATTAATTCTTTGTCTGGAAGTGTTTTTCTAAAAGATGCAGAATTTGTGTTGCTGAAAGCACATATTGTTGATATAAAAAAAACTGGCTGTTTCACATTTTTTTCTTTTCATTCAATATTAAATTTCCTGACAAAGTGTTATTGAAGATTTTGTTTGCATGCTTATGCTGACCCTGATGTAGTGAACCTGTGTGAACATTTCATGCTTTTGTAGCTATGCTTTTCAAAAATTGTGTTTGGTTTTGTATATATTTTTGCCAACAGAGCTCACAACGAATTTTTATAAGACAGTAAATGAAATGTTCTATTAGATTACCAACTTTTGTGTTCAAACTTGGAGCAAATGCTCACCAATGTGCTCTAGTGAATCTGTTTTATTCGCAAGACTAAAATACGTGTACACTTTTCACAGAAAATTACAATTTGCAGGGAAAATAACTAATTTTGCAAATTGAAAAAAAAGAAGCTATCAACTGATTACCAGTCGCCTGTTTCAGATAATACAGAATTCCTGTTTAATATTTGTGTACTTGTGAGAGTCTTCAATTCATTTTCTGGTGCCTTTCCCTTGTGCATTTTCTTTGGCCTGTGACATATTCTCAATTTTTTCTGCCTTTGTCAAATCTGCAGGTGCATGTCACCTTTGCATATCGATTTGCCAGTCAACACGATGGTTACAACTTCTGCGTAAAAATCAAAACACAAACATCTATGTACAGAACACCAATGACAGTGTAGTTATGGAATGGCACCATTAATTTTGTGTAATAATAACTTGCATTTTTAAATGACAGGACAGCTCTTGCTGATGTTTCACGCTACTTTGTCTTTCATGAAAAGAAATGTTTGCATATTCCAGATGCCTCGTTTGCTGAAAATCATCTGCACCTGGCATTGTAGTTAAAAGCAAAAATCTAAATGGTAGAAAAAACAAACTGCCATTTAAAAATGACATATATGATATTTGTATTTTTCTCACTTGTGCTCTATTTTGCGGCATCGAAGGTTATACATGTATGCTTCAGCTTCATCTGAATTTGGCATTGTTTTGTAAGGCCAAAAATGCCTGATTCAGACTGAGCTAAAGGATAATGTTTGACCTTTGACCCACAACATGTGACCAGGAGCATGAGGACAAGCTGTGTGATCACATTATTAACCATCTCTTTTTCCCCCGAAACTCTGCTCGTACACAAAATTAAAAAATCATTTTGTGACAACCATTATAAAAGATGCCTGTCACAAAAATCTTTCAGTTTCTAATGCATTGACTAACTCCATTGAAGGAAAACAGGCTGGCTGGAAATCAGATTGAAGAAAAGGTTCATGTGCACGTTGTTGATGCATTTGTGATGAGTTTGACTACATGTCAACGGAACCCGATCGTGCTTGTGATGGTTGTAACTGCACGCTGTAGTTATGTTAATTCTGCTTGCTTCAGAAATATTCAACTGGTCTTATCAAGAAAATGAACTCTTGATTTGAGAGTTTCTTTTGTTGTAATAATCAGCCAGTATTTTTAAGGGGATTTCAAAATTTGCCAGCAGTATGCATCCATTACCGAGAATTCATTTTTCCTTTTTTTTGGTGGTTTGTATTTCAGACTGGAAGACTTCCCACATGATGCCCACTATCACGTTCGGTTCAGGCCTGTTGGCTGGTGTGCTTGCCTCGGCTGTCACCCAGCCTGCTGACGTCATCAAAACACACATGCAACTCTACCCCAACAAGCACAAGAAAGTCATCGCAACAGTGCGATATGTCATACAGGTGCAGATTCATTGTCATATGAAAAATCCTGACAAAATTAGCCAAAAGCACATTTTCTTGGAACGCAACTTTTCAGTGCGTGACTTACAAAAAAACTTTTATCCAGAATTCATTTTACGTCTTGTCTGTTGTCTTTTTGGACACATTGATTGTGCTCATGATGCTGAATTCCTTGCAAATTGAGTATTTTGTAAAAACGAAAATGGTTGGTTATACATGAATACAACATTTGATTAATCCCAAGTCTCAAAGTTAGGCTTCCAAGAACCCTCTCTAGTCTTCCAAAGTCTTCTACTCCCCTGGAAGCCAATGCTACATATGTGCTAACATTCCAAAGGTATCAACCCATTCAAAGTAGTCTTAGCTTGTAGAAGTAGCCATAAGCTCAGGAAGCCTGTATTGGACATGGCCTAACTTTGCTCTGCTCTTGTTTCATTCATTTTCTTTCTTCAAGGAGAGTGGTATGAGCGGCCTACTGCGAGGCATGCTGCCTAGATGCTTGAGGAGAACACTGATGGCAGCTCTCGCCTGGACTGTATATGAAGAGGTAACACATACACCTCAACTGTTTTCTAGTTTCAACAATGTACGAGTTTCATCAGCCTCAACCCATTTGTTTACTGGGTATATCAGCTTCTATGATTGGTTTTTATCAAAGCTGGACAAGTACAATGACTGTGTTTTAGAAGTCAAGCCAGCATTCCCTGTCATCAACCACCTCACCAGAATATATTGATGATGTCCTTAAACATGGACTTCTGAGAGAAAGTCGGAGCTCTGATGAAGAGTTGGCCAAGACTTTAAAAATGTAGCCCAGGACACAAATGTAAATAATAGTGTTTTGTTGTACAGTATACATTGCCTACCGCTGGGCTCGGCCTTGATGTTGGTTTAGTTAACTTGTACGCTTCCAGTGTCAAAATGTATGCAGAACTGGTATTTATATCCAATGTAAAATTGTAGATGTACATAAATGTTCTGGAGGAAAGTTGCCTCATATAATCTTAGTGGCAAGATAAATCTTTCTATTTTTTTCCATTTAACAGGTGATTGTAAAATTTGGGATGAAGTAATAGCCTTGTGTGCCTCAGGTACTTGCTCCAGATGAGAAGACACTGGACCACCAGAATATATTGATGATGTCCAGAAACATGGATTTCCGAGAGAAGGAGCTCTGATGAAGAGTAGGCCCTGACTTCAAAAATATAGCCCAGGACACTTACATGTATGTAAACCCCTGCAGAATGTAAATAATAGTGTTTTGTTGTACAGTATACATTGCCTCCCGCTGGGCTTAGCCTTTAAAAAGAAAATGAATTCATTCAAAATTTGCGGCCAGTTTAAGACAACTGAAAACTTAACACTGGGCATTAAACAGCTTGAAATTCATTTGATGTAGTGTCCAATGAATGCCCACTTTTAGTTCAAACTACAGTGGGTAGGCCAGTGGCTTTAAACTGCTGGAGTGTATTCTTAACCGCTGTTGTCATTGTAAAACTAATGTTTGATTTCCCCCTTTTATTTTTTGATTTTATATGTAATTAGTATTGTGCAACATCAAGATTTCCCTAGTCTTTTTATCCCTGTTTAAGCATCTTGCAAGTAAGAGTTATGCCATCTGTACATAGTACATATTTATAAGAAAAGATTTTATTTAGGAAAACTTCAGCGGCACTGAGTATTAATGTGTCTTTACAGCACAAATGTACAAAAAAACTATATTAGCCAAATTACAGCGATAAAAAGATAGGGAAATCTTGGTGTTTATTTGTCAGCATTGTAAATAGTAATGAGTTCATAAAAATGTACACTCACATGCGGGTTTGAAATATTAGCAACTCGGTAAACTTGTCTGTGTAAAAATGTGTGTCTCTGTGTAAAGTAAAATACAACAGAGAAAAAATGTAGTCTTCACAATCATTAACTCTGACTGCCAAAAGTATTCTGGCTACTAGTACATGTATAGCAGCTAAGTTTTGTCAGTCGGTTACTACTATTGAAACTGATGAAAAGCAGGCCAAGTTTCTTGAAATCAACCTTGGAACTTAATCCCAAGTTGCTCAAACCTAACCTGAGCAGCTTAAAGTGAACCAAGTTTAAAGCAAGCAGCAAAGCTGAAGTGCATGTAGTCATCCCAAGTTATCTTGCAGCTTTTGTACTGCAACAGACTCCTTACTGTAAAATGAGAGAAAAGTACATGTGAAGTTTGCTTTGAAATCCAAATCAGTCTTTGTGTTTAGAGAATCGAGATTCAATCTTATTAGACTGGTATCTGTGATGATCACAGCAGCTGTAGTACGTTCTTGCCTTGGAAGTCTGGGAAATCTGACCAACATGTCCGCGCTCATGGACCCTTTGGTTTGCAAGGCACACGTACCTGATTTTTAACACATTTTAGAAACCAAAACCTGCATGCCAATAATCTGGCAATCGCTTTTGAAAGCAAGTTACAATCATAAAGAAGGTATTACAGCTGGAAGTTGTACTATAAAAGGCAAACTTTAATTTTTTTTTCTGTGACTGGCAACGTACTGTACATATTAAAGACAAAGTCAAAGTCACATCATTATTGCTTTGCCAAGAAGAAAATAGTTAGCATATAAAGTAAGGCATTGTCTGAATCACTTGGCTATTTGTACCTGTGGAAGCCACTAGTTAGCGACTGCAGCAACTTCCTATAGACTCGTGTGCTATTCGGACGCGGTCTATCAGTTGAGGAGTTGGGTTTTTGGATTTTCTCTGATGTATGAAGGTTCAAGTGGAATATGCCAGCAATACATTTATGCGAAGGGCATTTTGCGCTCCTGCTTGTTTGACTTGGTCATGTTTTATGTACCTCTCCTTTTAATTCAATTTAATGGATCCATAATTTTACAGTCTTTCACCATCACCAATCAATTTCTTCCCTCTAGAATCTCACTGGAAGCAATAATGAATCCAAATGGCCTATTCGGACTTGAATCTGTCGCTTATTTTTTTAATTGTGTAAGAGCCTTGTGTGTTGATTTCTTCTGAACCTTGATTTCTGCGGTGAAAATGCATCAAACATTCCTGTGTGTTACTATTACTGAGTGCAGGTTGCATGTTGGTGCAACTGATGTTAATATAAGGACAGGGAACATAATCCCCTATTTTAATTTATAGGGGGGGGGGGGTGGGTGGATGGAGTGAAGTTCAATTGTACATATATTTCCTTAAATAGGAAATATGTACTACCTGATATCAAGTGGAATATTACGTAAATCATTTGCAATTTCCTTGTCATTTTCATGGTTATGACCAACATGCATCCTTGCTTGGGTCAAGCAAGAATTTTCATTTCTCTGAATGATTGTGAAATGAAAAAAATGTTGCCGCTGCGTTTGAAACTCAAGTTGTATATAACAATGAACATGGAATAATATTAACCATGGTCAGCCAAATGAAATAAGTTGGCAAGTAATTAAGACAATTTTGCCAAAAATGGCTAGTTTTAAATTAAGTTCATTCTTGAAATAATCTTACTATTTATTTTTTGTTTATTTTTAAAAGTTAGAATGATTGACTTACAGTTGATGTTTTTGCAACTGTGAGCCAGTCAATTTGTAGATGATTTATATTAAATTGTTAACATTCTGACTGAAGCAGTTGCATTATTCTGTATAGAGGTAGCACATTGGCATAATTAAAGAAATTATTCTTCAAAATTACTTGTATATACTAAAGCTATGCCAGTGCAGCTTCATAAGAATTTAGGGTTTAAAGAAATGTTTTGTGTCAATTTTAAAGGCTATTTTGACCAATAAATGTTACTGATGCAAGAAACATTTGTACGTCAGATGTTCTGTGAACCACTTAACCAGCAGAAACAAACTTGCATAATGAACAACACTTGTGATAAAATGGCTCTTTGGTAAATTGAAAGCTAATACAGTTTGCTCTACTATTAGTTCTCCATTGGAATTTTCTTGTAATCGAAGTGAGATTTTCAGCCTATGACATTTGGAATATTATGGACTCCATGCACAAGTACACTCCTTAAATTTTGATGATGGCATGGCATTTGCTCAATTTTGGTAAAATATTTTGGGTCAATTTTTGGGGACCGACCGACCGACCGACTGACCAACGCCCAAGTGACTTGTAGAAGCTCCTGCTAGAGTTGAAATAGACTTAATTAAATCAAACTAGTGCAGGGCCAGTCGAAAATGTGCCTCGGTTCGGAAGGGGTACTGGGGTAGTTGAGAACTGCAGCTCGTGCAAGCAATGCACATTATTCAAAGGTGCTTCCACAGGTTGAATGTACACTCACAGGTTAAACGCACACATGTCGTCATCCCCTGGCACTGATAATTACCCCTACTGGACAATATGGTATCGCCCTACAGTAAGAGTTGCTAAGTCGACCGCCTACATACAGTGCAGTGATGGTTGCTCAGTTGACTACAAAATGCATGTGCCCGTGCATGCCACTCACGTACATGTACGTACAGAGACATGGTGGGCAGCGCTATTCACCCATACTGCACAATGGTATCGCCCTACAATGCAAGTGCGCATGCCCGTCCTTTTTGCATTGTTTGCGTCATATTGAGCACGCACGCTTTAGCTTAAACATGACGTAAACAATTGAGAATAATATCAGTGCGTGGTGGTCCTGGCTAAATACTGGTACGTTTGCCTCAGAAAATATTACTTTTTTTGCAGCTTTTTCGACAACCGTCGAAAATGTGCCTATTCGGAAGGGGCACAGAACTGCCAATACAAACCGCACGAGATTCAATGATTGTTGTTTTCACAGGTTGAATGCACGCTGCGCTTACAGGTTAAACGCACACTCACAGGTGTTTTTACATTTTTTTTTTACATGTGGACAGACAAGTATATAGTAATGGTCTATCCACCTGAAAAAATAATGAGCAACCATCACTGTAGGCGGTCGACTCAGCAACCCTTACTGTAAGGGTTGCTCAGTCGACCGCCTACCGTGAGGTTGCTCAGTCGACCGACTGCAAAATGCATGTGCCCGTGCAGCCACTCACACACGTATGTACGTACGTGTATGGAAACAGATATGCAGTGCTATTCACCCACACTGGACAGTGGTATTGCCCTACAATGCATGTGCCCGTCTTTTTTCCATTGTTGCGTCACAGTGAGCATGCGCGCTTTGGTTTAAACATGACGTAAACAATGGAAAAGGACGGCAGTTCATGTTGGTCTAGGCTATCAAACTGCCTCGTTTCCTCAGAAAATACTGCTTTTTTTTCAGCTTTTTTGAGAACCGCTCCCCCAAACAACTTTAAACTTGGCACTGCACTTTCTGTTGTCCCGAGCAATACACCCACCGATTTTCAACTTCATACGGAGCCCGGTTCTGGAGATAATCAACGTACAGACAGACAGACAGCACGACAGATAGACAGACAGACAGACAGACAGAGATTCCTGGAATTATAGTATAGATGACATGTATGTTCAAATACACAAGATAAATTCAGTCATTTTGAAACAGCGATGACTTTCAGATAGGCTGCATACTTTAATTTCTTAATGCCAACGAGGTGTAAAAGTTACTGAATATAATTTGAAAATATGTATTGGCAACTTCAATTGGTAATGAATAACACTTGTAAGCTGTAACCCTAGTTTTTTCCTGTTAGCTTATCGTACCGTATGGACATTTTATCAAACCTGCAAAAGTGAATATTGTGGTGCTTTTCAGTCAAATGGAAATCAATAGCATGCACTGCACGCTTTGAGGCTCAAGACATCTGAAATGGGTGTCCAACGTTTAGGCTATTTTCCAGCATATGCCTGTGTAGCTGTCTAATAGCAAGACAAGAAATTTGGATGCAGCCTAACTTTGATGTGTTCCACCGTATTATGAAAATCCCCCCCCCCTTCCACTGGAATCTTGTGAGTAGGTCAAACAGCGCCCCCAGGAGTTCATAAAAAGCATGCATTCCTGCTACCTCCGGCTGCCTCCTCTCAGCACCAAAGGCTCTTCTGTAGACCCAGAAAACTCGCCATCTGAAACAACCAAAAAGTGACGATATAAATCAGCCCAAATGCCAATCTAGCGGGTGATCAGAGCCAACAGGTTTGAAAAGTGGTACTTTCTTCACTTCAGACATGCAACTGGGAAATCACAAAAAAAAGAGAAAATTAAAATTTTTCCCAGACTTTGTACAGTTTTTCTATTTTCAATGGCACACATGGGAAGTAAAAAAAAAAGGAAATCAGCTGATCCGAGGAAAAGTTGCATGCCTGTCACTTTCTACGCCAGTGGTTTGGTTCCTAGGGTTTCCCTGGAATGTTAATACTGGTTTCCTCAAACCTCTAAAACTGAACATTTCTTCATTATCTTATCTCTAGGTTCCGTCTGGCTTGCAAGCCACAGTACCTTTAATAGGACTTTGAGGAACCCTTGGTTTCATTGGCAGATAGAAAAAAATAAAATTAAAATCCATTTAAATACATCAAAATGAACTTCAGCTTTAATCAGCCTGCCTGATGACAAGGAAAAAAGATGACCATAAATGGATGAACACTTCACTTGGAAAATGAACAAGAAATGTGTGGCATGTGCCCCCCTCCAAAAAAGAAACATGTCCGTGCCCCCCCCCCCTCCTTTTTTTTTTTTTTTTTTTACATCTTGAACAAAAATATATATTGCTGCGTTCAGTGCTCCCCTTGATGAATTTATGCACCCCCAGGTCCCCCCCCCCCCCCGAAGTTTAACCATAGTTTAGCCACTACTTCAGGCACAAATATTCTGTTTCCCAAGTACTGGGTTTTGCCCTTCACTTATGTATATATTTATAAGCAAGTGGAATCAGTGCTGTCCAAATGCTTGCAACAAAAAACTCACAACTTGCCTGCGTGGGAGTCCAAGTCGGTACTAATAAACAGGAGGTTATGGTATGAGTCCCAGCAAGGAAAGCTTGTGAATTGTTAACAGCAAGCTCTCGGATGAAAACAGTGTTTAGAAAATGATGTCAGTGAGGAGCAAAACCTAATATTTCAACTAAAAGTTATCACTAGTGTTGAGGGCTAGATGGAAGATTTGAGAGTTAATGTTTGGCACTTGCCTTGTGTTGTAAGGGGTATTCTGTTGTGGCCAAGCCTGGTGTCTTTACTTGTTGCCTTTGCAGTTCTGCTATGTTCTTTACTGGCTGCAGTTCTTTTAGTCTGTAGGAAGTGGCTAAGGATTCCATACAGGAGGGGGCTGTAGTCAAACAACAGGAAGAAAATACAAGTGAACAGTCTCTGATTTCACAGAACTGCCAAATAGAAAACAGTCCTCAGCAAATTCTTGTGCTATAAAAGCAATAGTCAGCCAAAAAGAGTTATCAAAACCACTCAACATCACTTGACAATATGGATGGTAACCTGGTTTTTGTAATGTACTTGGCAAATTTAATTAGCCTGGAGACTACTGACTGTTTGGGGAAATGCATTACTTTACTGTCACTTCTCATGGAGGGATGTTTCTGAATTGAGTATTTTTTGGCTATGGCTGTAAGTTATTTCATTATGCTGGGAAGAATAGCCATGGCTGTGAAAAAACAATACCCATTTTGGTAATGGCTTATGGCTTACATCTGGCAGCGATATTATTAGATCATCCTCACTCATATGCTTCCCTGGATGTGGCTATCTTTCAGGTACAATACTCACACTGTTGCACTCTCTCTGTCTTCAGTGATGTTCAACTCATTGACTAGGAACTCTCTGTCTAATGGCGTCTGTGGTTGACCAGATTCTATCCCAAAAGAAAAAGTTTTTTTTTATAAAAAAAAACTAGAATAAAAACTGAAGAGTAAAATAAACACATTCATAGTCTTCTGATGAGGTCAATGTTGAAAGCTTTCAAGTATAAATCTTAAAATTAATGTGGCCTGACGTTGCGAACTTAGCAAGTTCTTCTTCAGAGGCTAAAACAGAAATGACAAAGGTACATACACAGCTTTCAAGTATATCAAAGTATCTAATTTATAGAGCTCCTGAACTCCTACCTGCCATGAGCACCGATGATGAATACTTGTACTTGTTGAACTCAAGGTACTCTCTGATGAGTTCATTGATGAGCATGTTCTCATTACTAAGCGGAGGTCTTGGGTCATTCTGGTCGTCCAGGGCATGGAACACCTCAGCACGAACTCTGGCCTTGATTTGACCCATTACCCCTCGCGTCTCCAACGTCTCCTTCAAGACTGATATCAATGTGAAATGAAATGAAATGGGTAGAATCATTTTCAAATGGTAGTGTAGTGTAGTTCAATCCAATTAATCCTTAATTAATTTCCAATCTAATTAATATATTAGCATGTTCGTAAATTCAAGGTGCTTGCGCACATCATGATTCACGATTTAGTTTAGAAACAGTTTACCACATGCTAGCCCAACAAACAGGGCTGTATATGGCTGTCTTTTGAAATTGGTCTTATTTCTGTCGCCATAACATTCTTGTTTTGAAGTAAATGCAAAATTTTGATTTGCTGTTTTACGGCACCATGGTTTACGTAGTTTTGTATACTCCAACTTTTGTGCAAATAAAATTTTCCAACTTTTTTTTGATTAGATGTAAAATTGCAGAATGCGGATTCGGTTACCATGTCCCCCCAGACTTGTGTGAATTCGTCTGCTTTAAATTGTATCTCCCGAAACTAAATCGTTGAGTCTGATGTGCGCACGCACAGTTGAATTTGCAAAAAAGGCTTATACTGAATTATGACTGATCAAACCTAGCTTGGAAAACCCAGCTCTAACTCAGCCTAGCTCATGACATGCACATGTCATGAGCCATGTTAGAGCTGGGTTTTCCAACCATCTAGCTATTTCAGTACGTCAAGTATAGATACGTTGCACACAAAAACTCAGAAAAGTTTTCCATACTACTGCTAGGCATCAGTATCTCCTGCCAAACACATCAATGTTCACCTCACCTTGTGATTTCACCCAAGACGAATCCAGGAAGTTCCGGCAATGTAAATATTTTTTAGGAAAGATCTGTTTTAAGAGCACATTTTGGATGCACACATCGTGCAGAACTAAGATGGAGGCAATAGGCCACAGTGATTGAAGTGTCAGGAAGTCTAGCAGTACGTTACGCATGACATTGGCAACGCATGAGCCGGCCATACGGCATTATATGAATATTTAATTTCTCATGGATAGTTAATTTATTTAATATTCATTAGTCTTATTTCAATAGATACTTTAAATACGTCCAAAGATTGATTATTGCAACAAGCGACCGTGCGCGGCCTAGTGGTAAAAGTGTTGTGTTTCAAAGAAGAGTCTGAGGGTCAAATCTCGATGAAGTAAGTGACTGATTAAGAAATAGGAATAAAGGAAAGGAGAGGGTGAGAGTAGGCATGGTAGGGGAAGGAAAGTGGAGGAAATAACAAAGGATGCAACTTTTTGGCGCTTGAAAATTAATTGAAAAAAGTGGAGGCCTTGTACTTTAGAAGGCCTATGGAAAACTTTCCAACACTCCAAAGATTTGCTACTGTACACTTAGATTCCTTAGATTAGAACTGTTTGTTAAGCTCAGTCTAGAATCTTGCGCAAACTTATTGAATATTGTACTCCCTCCTGAGATTTTATCATCCAAAGGTAAATCAACTCAGGAGGGAGTATAGCCCTAGTCTATGGCCCGCGCTATACTATGGAGTAGCCTGCTTGCTGGAGTCTATTGTGTGGGCCATACCATGGAGTGTTTTATTTCTCCATGGCCATACCAACTACTTTCTGATAAAGTGCTAGTGATAGACTAGAGCCCCAAGAGGGAACAATGCCTATTATTAATGTTTGCGCAAGAATCTAGACTGCGCTGAACAGAACTACTACACCTGTAGGCCTATTAAGGTTTCGATACAAACTCGATTAGTTACCAGCTTTCAACTCCTGAACAGAAGTCATCTTTTTCGGTACAGTCTTCTGCCGATCTCAAAACAGTGAAGTTGTGTCGATCGAAAACGGCGCGGATATGTGTGTTTATGTAGGGCGCCCTCTATGGTTTGAACAATTTTAATCATGGCGTCCTGGGTTACCAGTATCTGCGCCATCGGCTTGTGTATTTATGGCCTTATTTTGTTGGGTAAGTCCGAATATTTGGGTGTCCAAGACCTTTTATTACGTAAATTAATTTAATGGCTTGTGAAACAGATCGGTTCGAGAGGAGCCAATGATTGATTTGTGAGATAAAAATCGGTTTGAATAAATCAATAATCGCATATTCGCAAGCCATGAATTTGGGCTGGCAATGTTGTTCCAGTGGCACTGACTGTTGAGTGTGCGCTTTTTTTGGCAAATCACGCAATCTTAAGAATGAGCGCGCATTCTTAAGAACGAGCGCGCATTCTTAAGAATGAGCACGCAATCTGAAGAATGAGCGCTCATTCTTAAGATTACATGGGAATATCACGTGCGCGCGCAATTTATGAATTTTGCGCAATCTTAACAAACATTGCACGGCATTAATCCATTATGTTCAATGAAATGTATAGCGGTTAAACTTTGGGGCAATAATTCATATAACGAGGAAAGAAAATGATCTATGCTTCCGTACTCGTATAAATACGATAATTTGAATCAAATTAAACAAATTATTATTGCTTTTTTCTGCCCACTATTACTATTAGGGAAGTTTTGTAATAACGGAGGACTGAGAACTAGTCTGGGAAGTGCATTGTCTAGGCTAGACAAGTTACAAGTCCCTGTATGTATCATATGCATGTCACGAAAAAAACCCGATGAAGCTGCCAAAATTGCTCTTTTGACTAGATACAATGAATCCAGCTCTGTGGTGTAAAGGTGGGGTTGTGAACAATAGCAATTTACATGTAAGTGGCAAATAGCATTAGCGCTAAGGGATGTCACAGTATTCATTCTCATTCTTCACATTCTTCATTCTTACCCCCCCCCCCCCCCTTTTTGTTATCCCAAAAATCAGAATTCTTTCCACTACACTATTTTTATGTCTCTTCTTTTTTCCCGGTCCCCCGAATACGTGTATACTTTCATATCCACTCTACTTTTCATTGTTAAATCTTTTCCTAGGTAAGTGACCTTGCGTTGCGCTTTGAAACATAATTGTTAAGAATCAGTGAACGAGGATGCAGCTAGACTTTCCAAGTGCAGCCGGTGCTCGGCAGCGACAAGACTGTTATCTTGTTGCGCATTCTTAAGAATGTGCGCTCAATCTGGAAGAGTTTTTTTGCGAAGATTGCGCAAGGATCCAGTTGCGCAATCATAAGAATGTGCATGCGCATTCTTATGATTGCGCAAATCACAAGAAAGCGCACAACAGCACGATCTAGTCCGAGAAATGAGGCCTGTCGCTTCTTTAACATTTTGGATGCAAAACAAGAAAATAGACTGGCACCTAAAACAACCAGTCCAACACAGCTTCAGTACTGCATCAATCAACCATGCCAAAAGAATTTAAGAAACATGTGGCATAAAGCGGGAACTAGTCTCAATTTACTACACATTTCTCCATAGTCAAGCCACCAGACCATTGACACTGAATGAAGAGGTCAGTCTTTTCAAATAGTTGGACCATGGTTGGACATGTACCAGTCTAGTATTTAGCCCCATTTCGAAATCACTTGACTTCCCTCTCATGTGCAAAATATTGGAGAAAAGTCTCCTTAAAAATTGAATTGAGTCTGCAAACTTGGAGAAATACTGAGGACATTTTCTTCGGCCCAGTGGAATTTTTGGAGAAATTTGCTGGCTAAACTGTGAGTGAAGTGGGCCTGATTTAGTTTTCCACGTTTCAGAGTACTCCAGAGCCCTGTCTGTGTTTGAGGCTGCCATTTTGAATTCAGGAAAAGTAAATTTTTTAGACCTGGTAGGCCTATGCAAACAAGGCAGATACGTGCAAAGTTTTTGCCAAGAATTTTTTAAAGGTCATATTTAAGTAATACCTTGTCCGATTTCGAAAATTCAAACAGCTATTAGCCTAGGTATATGTCTTCTCTCCCTTGACACAAAAAGTGGCTTTTAAAACCCTTTTAAAAAAATCATGTGCAGTCCCTAGTTCTAGCTTGAGTAACTCCAGCTCCAATGCTCATCAGGAATTCGACATAGAGCTGGAGCTAAAAGTACGTTATAGAAACTAGATCGTAAGAGTCCCTAATAAAAAGGATCCTGTATATCGTATCCCATCACAACAAGGGTCCATTTTGCCTCTATTATCCCAACCCAGATTCCATTACCGATTACACATACCTCATACCATGCAGCAGTCATTCACAAAGCTAATGATCGACTTGAAACAGAACAAAAGTGACTGAAATATGAGAAATATTGATGATTACGGTAATACGGTGGCTTCTCCAGAAAAAAAACGTTTACCACGGCTGTCGTGCGTGCGTGTTGTGTACGTGTGACGTCGTTGTGTACAAGCGTCAAGTGATCACAATTGCCGTTTTCCAAACCCCTGCTTCGGTCCATCTCTGCTCCATTCATGCAGGTTGCAAAGGGGCTGGACCCGGATATGGAGTCGAAGCCGGGGTGCAGAAGTAACAGTTTACCCGGTTCCTGAACAATTTGTAGGCTTAGATTTAGTGGGATAGAATTGTTACATCCCAAATATAGTAACTGCCCCAACTATACGTGTACCGTAGTTGGGGCATCAACTTTGCAATGACAATACAGTTGAAAAGTTTAGTTCTCTGTATGTAGAAACCTCATTTCTATTTTTGTTTAGACACGACAAAGGGAAACAACACAATATTAAAAGACATGTACAATTAAGCATCTGCGTGTTTTCAGGCCAAATATTAAATTTTATTAAAAACAATGAAAGTGTGTTCTTTGTCTTACCTTTTCACAGTCGGATCTAACCAGTGGCACTACCCATCTTGTGTTGTTGTCAATCCCAACACCGGTCCATGCCTTAGTATCTTCCTCCGTTACTTCAACGGATACCCTTCAGCCATCGGGGGCGGGGAACTAGTCCATCATGAATGGGTGCAGTACTTAGACTATGTGTATGACTACAATGACGAGAGCTCAACCAATTGTAAAATAAGTGAGTGTTGAAGATCAGACTGTGTCCCAATCCAGCAACATAAGTTTCAAGAGCTGCATTTGAGTAACTTATCTTTGCAGAAAATTAAAAGGAACTCTCAAATGTTTAACCCACATAAAGTCAGTCATTAACCAATCACAAGTTAGCCACCAGCCAATCACAAGTCAGTCATCAGCCAATTACAAGTCAGTCACTAACCAATCACAAGTCAGTCACTAGTCAATCACAAGTCAGCCACCAGCCAATCACAAGTCAGCCACCAGCCAATCACAAGTCAGTCGCCAGCCAATTGTCGGTCACCAGCCAGTCACAAGTCAGTCACCAGCCAATCACAAGTCAGTCACTAGCCAATCACAAGTCAGTCACCAGCCAATTACAAGTCAGTCACCATCCAGTCACAAGTCAGTCACCAGCCAATTACAAGTCAGTCAGTAGCCAATCACAAGTCAGTCACTAGCCAATCACAAGTCAGTCCCCAGTCAATCACAAGTCAGTCCCCAGTCAATCACAAGTCATCCTATCTGAAGTGAATGGACAAGCTGTTCAAGTGAACTGTGACAAAGGCATTCCTTTATCATTATGCATCCCGAGTCACTTGTGACTTCACTTGTGATTAATTTGACTGCAACTCAACTCTAAGAGTCCAGCGCACACACATGATTTGACCTTCATTTATTCTCAGTTTCTCATGAGTAAGTCATAGAGTATCATTTATTGTTCCCGTATGGAGTCCATAGGAACCAAACATTTCTTGGATGATTTGCAAATTTATATGTCCTCAGAAATTTCAGCCATACAAATCTGTAGCAGTAGCACACCCCCTCACTCTTCAAACCCTTGATCCCAACAGGGCAAAGATCCAAATCCTACTCAGATTTCGTCAATGTGACCTGGACCCGCGATGGTTTCTCCACCTGTACTCAGTCCAACGTGGAGAGGTTCAACGCCTGGTGGACCTTTGTCTGCGAGGGCCACTGTGTGGACGATGACAACTGCCGTAGGTACCCGACGTTCCTGGGTCAGCACCTCTGGAATAACTGCTCCTGGGATGAGGAAGTGGATCGGCCCTCTTATGACCTGAGATTGCCTTGATGCCAAAGTGAAGGCTGAGTGTAACATGAGAAATGTTGGTCTTGGTCCGTGAGACTGGATTTGATTTGTGTTCCTCTAATTCAGCCATTCCCTGGCAAGTGTATCTTACACAACAGTTCAAACCAACATATTCAATCTCGACGAAACGATCAACGACAACATCACACAACTAGAATGGATAACGACAGAATTCAACATGATATACCAAACAGAAACGCATAGAATCTAATCAGCCAAAGCGGGACTCCAATTACAAGCAACCAAACTTACTCTCTACCAGCTTAGGCGAGCCCTCAAATTAGAATCCCTCCCCAGACCGTTCGGGGTTGAGCCCGCCCAGTATGTTGAAGGGATTGGGACCTTGCATGGAACCAATCGGCCTGGATTAGCTCCACCAGGCTTCTGCACCATGGCTCTGGCTCATCACAAAGGTACCAACTTGCGACGCGCTAATCCTCCAGTAGGCAACAATGACTGTGATAAGCTTCATAGAAGTTGCCACTGGAAATCCCAGTGGGCAAAATAATCCTCCAACAATGGCCAGACTTCAATTTATGTTGCCTATTGTGAAACCCTGAGTCACCAGTTTGGACCGATTGGGGCGTCACGCTTCAGTGACCGGGTGGCTTCTGGCTTCGTACCGATTGGGGTGAAAGAAATTAGCATACCGGACCCGGTACCCGAACGGTCTGTTATCTGATGGCTCGCCTTACAACATTGTGAATCTCCCTCATAACCAAACGTAAAACCATGCACAATAATTGTATTAGAAACCAGATAGCCAAACGCTAACACAGAACAATGTTATATTGTTATATATGGGAAAATGCATTAATCACACTTATTGGTATGTACAAGAATACAAAAGACAAAATCATAGTGACACATACACATGCGTACATACTTTCAACACAAGCAAAGTCAACACGCTTATCAAAAATGCACACTTTCATTTTTAACCAGCTAAGTCTAACTACCTGTACAAAGAAAATTAACAATACCTCAAATCCCAAATTCCTTTTGTATTAAATGATTAAATGTGATTTTGAAAGTCCACATAATTTTTTTAAGAATAATATTCCTATAAAGCTCAATACCACCTCCATTGTATAATATAATCTAATTTATAAACACATGCACACACTCACTTTGATTGTATATCATTTCGGTGGCTGTAATATACATGTACATGTAACCCAACAAACTCATCATACTCTTTGGTAATTTAAATTTGTATAAAACAATATTTAAAAATTATTGAATAAATTATTATTTTCACAATTTAAATTGGAATTACCGTCACATAATGAGGGAGTTATGATTTTATGAAGATAAATGAGAATGTCTCTGAAGAATGAAGTAAATCTTAGAAGATAGTTAAGTGGCATAAGGGTTTGTAAAAAAATCAAGTGTCATTGTGTAGAAGTTGTTCCGTGGAAAAATGATGTTAAACAACACTCAACACTGTGTTTTAGATCAACCATTTCATTAAGCTTTAAGTAAAATGCACTATTGAAATACATGTACATTGTACGTGATTATCCGATTCACTAAAAAAAACATCAAGGACTTTTTATTACTTTAAATACAAAAAAGGGAGATTGTTTGGGTTTAACATTATCAATGTTGTACATACATTTGGCATGGTATGCTTACGAAAAGAAATACAATGTATTGGGCAATGAGTAAGCTTTGTTAATTTGTGTAAACATCTATTTTATGATATTCAATGTAAATGTAATATGTAATGATTTTGATGTATGACCAGATTTACTCGTTTGTAAATATCAGCACTAATTGATATTCAGTTTTCCATGTTATTATATAGTCCGTCCTATGCCTTATTTTAAAGGCAGTTTTGATATAAATAAAGTAGTATTTTTCTATTTTCTCGAAGCTTGTTTCAAATGTCAGTTGATTTGACTTTGGATCGACATCCCGTCTCGATCCAGACTCAGTGGTTTTGTGGGGTTCTTGTCTTTTGGAGACTTGTGTGGTTTATTTTTTTATGTTGTTATTTTTTTTATAATAAGAATAAATGTACATGTACATGTATTACTATTTCTTCATAGAATTTCATATGTCAATCGAGGGGGGGGGGGTGTTTTCCCTTTTTAGTCCCCCTATACCCGCGACGACCCAAGCCATCAGTTGTTGGTCACCTACATGTTTCATGCAAGAGCAAGTGAATACGAAAAGGAAATTAAAATAGCTTACTTGAAATGTGAAACCATGCTACATCGCGCATTATTGAAATAAAAAAAATTAAAAAAAAAGTAACCAAAAAAAGGAACGTGCACTGCCCGGGAATCGAACCCGGGTCGCAAGAATGGGAATCTTGCATGATACCACTACACCAGCAGTGCTATGACCTTCGTTGGGTGAAAACAAACATTATAAATATAGGTGCATATTGCGTAATCATAATCGATACCGATTAGTTTATTACTCGACGATGTTTGCAGCATATGGACAGTTTGAAGGTGATTTTCCGTTCGAACGTACTGTCGATACTAAGGTTCAATTCGAAATCAGTACATATAAAAAGGAATCGATGCTTACTTTTGTTGCAATGACTGGTACCTGGGCTCCCCTTCCATTCGAAAGAAACGTGTGCCTAGCCTGACTAGTCCTGCATAACCATTCTTGCACGCACTCAATAGCGTTTACGCAGCCATATCATATCACGTATTGTCATTTGCGCAAATGTTACGTTGAGTTTCATGGTAACAACAAATCAACATGTATAAGGTGCACCAAGGGCCAAGCAAGTTTAACGTCCACAACAGAAGAGGTAAATAGCTTTGATATACGCTGGATTATCCGATCTCTATTTTGGACAATGCATTTTTCCTTATTTGAAATCATTGCACTTGCACAGATGTTCGAGTTTACGTAACTGCGCGTTGTTTTTAAAATCCCCACACACTCCACAGTTCTGACGCAACAACTCGATCAAGATACATCACGCGACGGGAGGCCAGAATCAGCTGGGGGTGTGAACGGAATGAGGTGAGAGAAATTAGAGGAGATGATCCAATGAAATCATCGAGCAAGGAACAGATGAAATTAAAGCACTTAACTTAATGTTAAACTAAATCGCAAGAAACATGGTTTATTATTATTATTATTATTTATTCGGCATTAAAAACACATACAAACAACAAACATTCACAAAATATAAAAAAACAAAAACAAAGAAAACATAAATGAAAGCCAGGGGCATAGGCCCTATGCCTGGAATTAAAACAAGTTTACCTAAAAACTGTGGCCCGAAGGCCTTCAATTCCAATACCTCTGGCTACATACCCCTAGAACTATGGGTATTACTTGTATTTGTAATAGTTTACACGGAGAAATATAACTAATTCATGTGTAATTTTGCGTCTTCTAATCTAATTGATGGGATGTGGTTTCATGATAATGGATGCAGGCAGGCAGGGTAATGGGCCTAGGTCCTAGTTAGTACTATAAGTTTTATTCCCTCATCTGTGAAATTCGTTGGTGTGCGATTATTATTTATTCTGTTCACTTCGTGTTAATTTTCTCCCTTTATTGTAAATGTGAGGCATACCTTAGAATGCTGACTTTGTAGGCCTAGTATACCTGGGCTTTTTGGGGTTTTTTTTTTGCATTTGATTTTATTGTTTTACTCATGACTGTTCATGTTGTTTCTATTAATTATTGTCTGTAAGTGTCTAACCAGAAGGACACCCATAGATTTAGGAATGAGAGCAACTATTACTAGTATTACTTAAAATAATAACGATAATGTAATTTACTGATGGTAGCCATATCACCTCTAGGATGATTTCAATGGGCCATCATTAAAAACATGGGATATACAATACGGATATAAATATATTTAAAAAGGAATATTGAAATACATCTAAACACTTCAAAGTTAATTTAATCCAGACAAAATGTATGTTACATTTACACATAAAAATATTCAAAAAGAAGCCTATATTGTTGCACAATTGCAAATGTCACAATTGAAATGTCTCTCTTTGCCCTTAGTCTACATACCTCACCCAAGCCAGTGTTTCACAGTGCCAGCCCATCTGGTAAGTGGCAAGGCAACAACTCACGGTTCCACAATGAGATTGAAGTGCCTGCTGACCAGTTCCCACCTGAACACTTAGAGAAAGTCAGAATGCTTAGTGAAGGTAATTTGAACCAAGCAAAATTAATATCCTTTAGTGGTTTAATCAATTTACAAATAAATAAATAAAATTAAATAAAAGTGTTTTTTTTTTCTGGCAAAAGCAAAAAAAAAAAATAAGTCGGTCGGAAATGAGAACCATAGAATTAAAAAGGACAAACTTTCAATCTTTGTCTTTTATTCATACAGAAAAGATACCTATTTTCTAATTTGGATGTTTTCAATCCTCTGAAAGTACACTTTAATTTGGGTTATTGTGCATCCCTAGTGGACAAAAGATACGCTTGAGTTATTGTGAGGCAGCAAATAATTCCAAATGTTTATACATGTAGTAATTAAATTCCATTGTTGGGATGTCTCATTCACTAGTTAATAGCTTGTGTCTTGCTTGAAAAAAACCCAGCAATTTCAAAACAAAGTGTTTTACAGGTTGAGACTTGAAAATACCAATGGGAGAGCAAGTTAAAGGGAATATACAACATTTGCAAACATCGAAAAATAAAACTACCAAGTTTTTGCGAAATACCTTAATACAGAGATGCCACTTTTCCGGTTTTAACCGGAATTCCGGTTTTTAAAAAAAATCTCACAAAATTCCGGTTTTTCCGGCCGTCAAATTAACCAGAAAAAGAGAAGAAAAACTGTGGAAATGCGTTGATTTTTACCTCGATTTAGTACATTTAGGCGCACGCATGGCACAACGTTGTTCGTTGAAGTAGTCTTAAAAACAGTCTTTGTGTATGTTGTTGCCGAGCCTGCATGCGATACAAACGGCCAACGTACTTAATTGCACGCAGTATACAACGGCGCCTCGCGCGTGCTTCACCGCGTGCGGGCGTGTTGTGTGCTAAGCACACGTAGCATTCAGCCTGGAAATCAAGTCTATCATTTCAGCTATCGGTGGTTTCCGATCGCAGTGATATATGTGAATACAAAAAATGCGGGTACCAACCATGTTTTCGTTGAGCGCATCGCGTAGTGCAAGGATCATGTACACCGACAGCAGTGTTGTGGAATCATGCATGTTTCGTGTCGAATATTACGTTGGAAATTCGGGTAGGCAGAATAAATATTAGGATGGAAAAAGTCAAAGTGATTGAACGAACCGACAGCTTTCAAGGACATAGAAGCAAAATTAAAAAATAAACAGAACTTGGCTTGGCTACAAGATAAAGATGACAGCGGGGACTTTGTGTCGGACACGGAGTGGCTTTTTCACACACACAAAAGTCCGGTTTTTTCAAGCAGCCGTTCCGGTTTTTTTCAAGCAGACCCAGTTCCGTTTTTTTCAAGCAAACCTTGTGGCATCTCTGTTAATAGGATGTTGGTAAATGACAGTCTAAAGCATCCTGTAAAATTATGGCACCTGGTATACTGTCATTTTCAAGAAAAGTGGTATTTTTGTATCAGTTTCCAACGCTGATCGGCCGATCAGCGTTGGAAACAACTGGCTTTTTTTTCAAATACTGGCCCCAATTGACCATTGCACTTGTTTGCAATCGATTACAAACCTATGAACGGGTACGAGCCAGCTAGACTGGTTCCCTGACCTTACAATTCCCCAATGTATGTAAACTGCTCTGTTTCTTCTTATATGGAGTCAGGGGACCAGACTACAGGAAAATGATCGTTTTTCTTGGTTTTTATAGCATTTTCGAACCCAAAACCTCCAAAAAGTCAGTGTAACTATATTTGCTTTATATTTCCAACCCCCCAATTTCATCCATTTCTGAAAATTACAGCAAAAGCAAATGATGTATATTCCCTTTAAACTGATATTGTATGTTGAATTTTACTCTTAATGATCAGGTTTAAACTATTGCTGACATTTTGAAATTTTCTTTGAGCTAAATGAGCTTAACTTGAAAGTACAATGTTTCACGTGTGCTACAATTTTCATACAATATTTTTTTTGAGAAAAACCTCAAAAGGGCAATTCCATTAAGAAGTGGACAAATTCAAATTTGTTTTATCTTTAGAACTACAAGCATATCAACAGCAGGTGTGGTATCAAATTTAAGAGGACAACAAAATCTTTCATTGAAGTGGTGTGACAGTGAGATGGAGTGTTATTAAGCATGATTTTGGGGGGAAAAAGTCGTTTTTTTAAATACTTGTTTTGGCACCTAGTTTTAACATGCAAAATGTGAGTGTTATTCTGAGGTTTCTGTTTTTAAGGCATTGGGAGAGGTTCAAATTGTATGCCAAAGATGCTTTTTTGTTGGATAATTAGTTTTTTATACATGTATGAAACGAGTACCAAAGATGGGCAGATAAACTGTATCATTACTAAACCGTATACGTACTAACCACAATTTTTTGGTCTTGCTTCAAAATAAAGAGACTGGTTGTAAACAATTATCTGCCAAATCATTTCCCATCAAGCAAACTCAGTAATATAAATATGACACTTTATTTCAGGTATAAATGTATCCCATTTTTTTTAGTCACAGGAAAATAACTGAAATAGCATATATTTCAATGTGGCTTGCTCGCTGTGAAACAAAGCCACACTCGGCAGGAAATTGCAGTTATAACTAAAAGCAAGTTCATGGATCCTTTTTTACTGTCTGCTATTTGACTCACGCATGTGGAAGACTCATTTAGACCCAGGATGTGGTCATTTGTTGAGATGATGCAATCATAGTCACAAGGTTGTTTTTTCATGGTGCAGAAATTTACAAGTTTCTTCTAGTCTCAATTATGAGTATTGTAGGAAAAGGGGGATTTCTAATTTTGGTTTCAAAGACAACCATAAAATCCAACATAGTGTAAAAAGAAAACCACAGGCAGTTTCCAATGTATTCATGAGTTAAACTAATGTAAATGTACTTCTGTGAAATTTACGTTTTTAAAATTTTAGTGAGGATTGGCGCTGCACATGCAATGCAGAAACTAGCGAGTTGCGACAAATCTGTCAAAGAGCAAGTTACTTTTGTGCCCCCCTATTCATACCCCAATCTTTACAGGATGCTTTTCTTTCCTTTTCATATATTAATTGCAAGGCACACATTGTGTTTGATTTAACTAGATTTGTAGATATATTGCCCATTCAAAAGATTGAATTATATTTGGTTCTAGCATGGAACAGAACAAAAGCAGAAATCCAAGAAGGGAAACAGCAAAGAAGAGGTAAGCTCTATAAAAACAATGAATTTACAATTGTGAACTTGTTTGATATTCCCAATAATATATTCTTTTTAAAGGTAATCTACAATGTTTGCTTTTGCTGTAATTTCAGAATTGAATGGATTTGGGGGTTAGTATTTTGCAGCAAATATTGTTACACCAACCTGTTTTAAAGTTTTGTATTCATAGATTCTGGAAAAACCAAGGGGAAAATTATGTTCTTGTAGTCTGGTTCCCTGCCCTACATCAAATGAAACTGAGCAATTTATAGATGTCTGGGAATTGTCAGGTCAGGGAATCACACTACATGTAGCTGGCTCACACCTGTTCATAGATGTTTAACCGATTGCAAACAATATACGGACTAACTAAATTTGGTAAATTAAGGGCAGTATTTAAAAAAAATCTTGTATGTTGTATGCACAACATTTGAGAACATTAACCCTCCTACTATTTGAGAGGTCACATGGTCAAAATGTTCTTCCTCACCTCCTGGTATACTGTGTACAAACCAATGGGGGCTTGACCAATATTGACCCAAGTAATAACAAGGTTGTACATATTGTGTTTTTTAATTGTAATTGTTTTCTTTATATAAAACCCTTTGTACTTATATTGACAAAAAGACCAGCATCACGTTGATATTGGTTGAAAAATTGAAATGAATGTACATGTACAGTTGTCATTGTATTTTTTACTCAGTGGACGCAATGTCACCAATCACAGTAGAATATCTGGACAAGAGGGAACACCCGCTATTTCAGAGTAAGTACTGAAAATAATGCATGCTAAGCATTGTTAGTGTGGTACGCCCATGCAAAGGTGCTCTATTCTCTGACATTAATATTGCAGCTTTGGGAAAGTTTGGGTGAGAACCATTAGCCAACTAACTTAGGCCAGCAGCCCAGCACACTATATTAGCAACTTGCATCCATAGCTAGTCAAGCGCTTGTCAGAATGTCATCACGAAACTTCTTGGTCCTTGCTCTGTGCTTTGCACTATGATGCCTGCAGCAACTGCCTTGTGGTCTGGTTCCAAGTACTTGTAGTATACTACAGTAGTTCAATTGAAGTAGTCAAACAATAGTTCTTACTCGAACTTGTTATTTGTAAACAAATCAGTTGTGCATTCTTGATGCAATGTGAGAGCAGGAACCAGTGGGCACACATAGTGTGTCTTACCTTGTAGTCAACTTAACAAGTAGTCCAAATTTCTTGTCCAACTCCACAGATTTTGAGCCCATGGATCTGGAGAAGGAACAACTAGACTACATGATGAGCAACAAAGATACAACGTAACACAGGTCTTACAGTGTACAGTAAAGTCTGTCATAAAAGAGTTATTATATTGATAAGTGTGTGTTTTTCATTCAGGAAACCTTTTGGTTGTGCATGTCGATGAAATCCACATAAAAAAATCATCCTTGGAACCAGCAAATATTCCAATTTTGTTCTGAAAAATGAATGTGTGTTTCGCATTTTTGCATGAGGTATTTTTTGGATAAAATGAACTTAATACATTTTTTTATGATTTGGGATACAAAGGACATCTACTCGGAGTGATCCCTAATTTCCATTTTCCAGATTTGCGAGATTGCTAATGTTGCTAGCATTGCAACTTGGAGTGCAATCCCTGGCCACATTGCACAAAGGAGTTTTATAGCTTCAATGAAGACATTTTAAATTACAAAAGACTTCCAAAATGAAACAGCGCTAGCTCTTTTTTCCATGATTTCAATATTCAAATTGTACTGTTCAATCAATGAAAGTTCTCTCTAGATTTATTTGGGTCGGGGAGTTCAAGTAGCAGTTCCATTGGGATGGAAAATGAAAGAAATTACCCACGTGCTCGACACTATTTATAAAAAAAAAAACCACCTCACAATTTCTACACATTCAATGCACAACCTTAGATCATTGCAACCTATATTCCATCCAGCCTTCTATCAACCAACAGTGCCCCAGTTGTACCTAATCTTCCAGTTAGTTTATAGATAATGTCTATATTTTTTAAAAGTTTGATTACATATTTGATGTTATAAAATATATTTGGAAATTTACTAGTTTGTTGTGTTGTTGTTGAATGGTAGGTAAACTTATTTTTACCTGGGTGTGGTCAGTATACGTAGGTACAATGTAGTTGGGATTCATCAGGCTGCAGGTTCTAAGTTACCAGGAAAAAATTACTTTTTGTGGAACTTCACACTTGTCAGATTAGTTATATTTGGATTTTTGTTTTAAATCATGAAGACCAAATTGATTTAAGAAAAGATTGAGTCTGTGACCTGAGAACCATACTGCTGCTCTTTCAAATTAGCTATCCAGCCTATTGTTTATGCCCTACCAAGTTGTGACTAGAGTTGTTTTGGGTGGACAAATTGTAAGTCTATTAACCTATGGCTTGATAGCCAATTTATAAGAGTAGATGTAAACCATTTTAGTGTTCCTCGGGCTAGAATCCTGCTTCATTGAAATTTGTATTGTGCTATCAGAAAAGGATCGTAGCTTTAAAGGGACTATTTCGTCATAAATACATGTATCCAGACTGAGGAACCAGGGGTTTTTCACCCACCCATCTCATCCCCTGTAGGCTCTGTGTGCAGGAACCCTCTCATTGGTGTAAAAGAGTGCAAGGCATGAACGACCATTTGGTTGCCCGTTTGACTACAATGTGTGAGTAGGTTGGGGGAAGTGTTTGAACTGTATGTTTGTGTGCATGTTCTGACTGGACCCATCTCTTTGACTGGCTCTCATCTATGTTCATTGAGGGGCTGGGAATCAAACTTCTTCTCTTGCTCCATAATCATTGGAGCCTAAATACTGTAGTATTCTGGGTCACCTATTTAACAATATACATTCGCAAGAAAGGATTGCGTGACCAAATCAAATTTCGAACTTAAGTTGTGATGAATTTTGTTTTTGTACAGCAGTGGTTTCTGCAAGGGTTGGAAAGAGAAAAGTCCTTTTGGTGATAAGTTAGGTCTCCATTGTTTCTTTTTGAACTTCAAATTTGTTCCTACCATGCTTGATTCATAAGTCTGTTGTTTGGAGTGATAATGATAAGTGTGGAATTGGTCGCTGAAGACGCACAATTGGGTCACAACGTTCTTGTGTATTTTCTCCATTTCTGGTTTGAAAGTTATTGGAACCATCTAAAGTTTTTCGTGATGTTTTGTGAACTGAAAATATCAGTGACTTACAGGTTTGAGTGCAATGATTATTTCCTCATCAGTAGTGTCTCCCTTATGTGAATTTATTATGTTGTGGTAATGTTTTACACAACAGGTTATGAAATTGATATCGTGAAGAATGGCTCTTTTATTTGCATTTAACATGGAATATTATTTGAATTTGAATGACAAAAATTATATTTAACGTTATTTGATTGTGTGAATATGACTAACGCAGGATTTTATTTGTGAGTTTTGAATTGGGAAATTCAAGAAATAAATGGTGTTTTATGAACAGGAATTAGAAATGTAATGTTGCAACTGCAAGTTTGATTGCTGTTGATTGTTTACCATGTTGATTATTTACAAATAAATTTGAACAGTGAGTTTTCACGTTATTGTACCATGCATGCTGTATCTAAAAAATGTACTGTCATCGTGTAACAGAGTTTTAAATACACGGAACGTGATTCAATTAAGACATATTGACATGCATGCTAACAAAGAGATCATAAGCATTTTTTTGACATTCATTGGTACAAATCTACAGTATTGTTGAATGGAGTTGTACAAGCACATTAAGTGAGCACGATCACTGACAGAACACTGCATGTATTGTAATGTAACAAACCACGGCCTTTCCTGAAGGAGGAGATGACAAGAAATAACAATTATTTAAAAATGACACAGAAACTCAAATATTCACGTGCTGGCAATTATGAGAACGTGCACAGATTACACAATATACCTAATTCACAAGGACTTTATTCTGGATCGTGCTCACTCAATCTATTATATAAATTGTAAACCGTTGAATGGTATGCTGCTAAGTCTTACTTTCTTTTTCTTTTTTTTAAATGTGATTTAAAACAGGGTATGTTTAATCACAAATTCTAATTTTTTCGTCAGAGCAGACTGGTTTTAATTTGTGTAATGAAGTTTTATTTCATTGCTTTCATTTCTCTTCACAAGTTCAAAAAGACGAGCAGTTTTCCTAGCTTTCAATTTAAGATGGCCGACTCGTAAATAAAAAGTATCAACTTCGTGGGAGGGCAAACACATTAAGTTTCAATTTGGAGGTGATTGTCAACCAAATTACACAGGCAATAAAAGAAATTCAGTTGATATACTACACTGAAAATCCAGTAAACATTGTACAGTGACGATATTGTAAAAGGTACATCTAACACTTTAAAAACGCACATTTTACTATAATTTACACTTAACCATATCAGCGAATGAAACAAACGAGATGACCGAACACCGCGTTAAAATGGGGGTAGGGGTAAGGAAGCGGAGCTGCAGTGTCCCCTTCAAAACGAAGAACTACAAAACGGCTAAATATTCCTTTACATTTCAGCTTTTTAAGGTACTCCAAGAGAAATGCTGTAAAATATGGTTCCTACTCAATTTACACTTTCTTCCGCATTGTAGTTCCTCTTTCCGTATAAAGTCATATAAGCCCACTTCTTTGCAACATTTAAGTTTTTCTGTGGAATGACCTCCATTCCTTTTCATGTGCTTAAAAATAATGTTATGCATACATGCATATATACCTTATTAGGTTTTGGGTAAAAAAAATCATAGTTTTTTCACAAAACAGTTTAGTTCGAATCTTTTACATCTTCAGATCCTCTTTCAAACCTTGACCGATTGGTAATATGTATGAATCCGCCTTAACCTTTATTGTAAACAAGGGCCATTATTTAGATTAGACGTGTTAAAAAAGGTCACTCACTGCTCAATTCTACATTAGGCCTAGTTTACTTCTTTATACGAAACGATGGTTTGAAAGTTCATTTGAATAAGCACAACCACTAAGATAAACGAAACACCGCAAGGATTATCTCTGATACGAAAGCAGTCTGGTTCGCTAAAGGTGAAAAATACAAGAATGTTTAGTAGAGCAAGCCGGACAATTATTAATTATGAAAATGACATAAAATTGTAATATTCATTAGTCTGAGTTAAAGCCCCGACGTTGGTAAAAAAATTATCTTCGTGGGGGGTTAGTACACTTAAGGTTAAAATTGTTAAAAAAGGAAATAAAACAGTCCTGTGGTTATTACACTTAAAATGCATTGACCTTTTAAATTTTACAATGAAAGTATTGTGACAGTTAGTTTGAACACGTACAAAAGCATATTTCAGTATTTTTTTGAGATATTTCTCAAAACGTTCTCGATTAATGAATAAACATGAGCTGACCGAACATCACATTGTAATTGGATGACGGAAACCAAGCAGTTTTTCCCTTTAAACAAACAAAAAAGTAACCGTTCCTACACGGCTAAAATAGTACAAAATGGCATATTAATACCACTTGCATATTACTGACATTCAAAATATCTCTTTTGCTGCCAAAAAAATACTGTTTTAATACCAATCTTTAAAGGACATTTGTTGATACCCTTAAACCACACTCCAATTCGGAAGAATATAGTATTGTTTATGTAATTGAAGAATGGGAAAGTTGTAATACATTTGCGTTAATTTTAATACATATGAGATGGCCTCCATTTGTTTTTTCATGTGCCAGTAAATATACGCATATCCATTTCATTTAACATTGGTTGAGGCAACACTTTTGAAAACCATTAAATCTTTAGATCTTTCTTAAAACCTTGATCGATTTATCGTCGGCTACAAACAGTTCTTCACCATCTTGCGAGTGCGACAATGCAATGCCGGCCGGTTGCGCCAAGTTCCTAGTGACGCAGCCCTTGTAGTCTCCCTCCATGCTGAACTCGTGGACGGCTCTGTCACCGTCCTTGTGCCCATTTACTACGAAAATCTTCTTGTTTTCCGCGGAGCAGGCCACCGAAACAGGCAGCCACGGTCTCAGGGTATCTGGCACGGCAAGAGCCCGCTGGGTGCTCCCTATGTGGTCCAGTAACTTGGTGGAGTCCGTTGGGTCAGCTGGAAGTACGACTAGGTACTTGCCAGCGACAGTCAGCTGGGCTGGTCGCGTGCATTCGATCAGCCGTATCCTGCTGCCGTTTGGCTCGTGGATTGTCACACACCGCCGGTTGCGATCGCCGACATAGACGCGGTTCCTGTCGTCCACGGCGAGGCAGCAGAGCAATACGGGATTGGAACAGTTGTCTCCAGTTGCTGTAGTCTTGAAGGCGCACAGGTACCTCCCCTGCCTGCTGAAGACCTTGACGAAATTGGAGCAATCGCAGATGATGATGTGGCCGGCTTTGGAGAATGCTACTGCTCGAATGAACCCTAAGATCTTGTCGACACCCACCCGTGTTTCCTTCATGATGTTGTCGACCGTGGCGAGCGAAAGCCTGCGTTCACCTGTCTGATCGAAGAGCTGAGCGATTCGCCTCTGGTTCTCCACCACGATCACCTCTCCCCAACGGGACACGGCGAGGGAGCCGGCGTTGCTCAGTTCACAACCTATTTCTCGGTGCAGGATCCACTCCCCTGTGACGTGCCCAAGAGTTCCAATGCCAAACACTCTGTTTAAGCTCTTGATAGGATCGTGTTTGTCAGAGGAGAATGCAAACTTGTCAAGATGACTCTCAAGCCCACATGCTGAGTCCAAAGAGTTCATCTGTTTGTGAAGAGATGCATTCAATGCGTCGTAACTCGTCAGCACTTCTTGATCAGAGCCGTTCTCCAAAATCCTTGCAGCCAAACTCTGAGTCTGCCTCAAGCATGCCAGGGCGTTTTGAAGCGCATCTCTGCGACCGGTGACAATGTTCTTCCTCTGCATCCCAAGAGTGATGATGTCTTGGAGATGGCACTGCCGTTTTTCCTCCACTCGTTTCTGCGAGACCACGAGCGCGTGGTCGGCTGCGCGGTTAACCTCGGCTTGAGCTGTGTGCGTCGCCGACTCGATCCGTCGATCCAACTCAGAGAGCTGATTCAGATCCGTGTCGAGTTGAGATTCGGCTTGCTTAGAACTTTTGATCGTCATCAGGAGTGCTTCTCGCTTGTGTCCAATGACGTCTTTCAAATCGACACACTTGTGGTCCGGTGTTGGATGATCGACAACGCTGCACTCGCGGCAGATCACCTTCTGACAGGTTTCGCAAAAGAATTGGAGGACTTTACTTGGATGTTTCTCGCATCTGTCCCCTTGCAGCGTACCGGTCGGAGTAGCATGCGGAGTGCTCTCCCCAACAGCCTCGTCGCTCGATTCCTTGATCCCCGCCTGAAGAGCGACAATCATGTGGTGCCGCAAGACCTTGAACGACAAGTGTGCAGACTTACAGAAGGCACACAGAAAGTTCTCGCATTCTCGGCACCAAGATGTCGCCTCGTTCGTCCTTGCTTCGCACACGTCACAGAACAGTTTCGAAATCCCCTCTTCTTTGATCGGGACTTGTGACGCCATTATTTGGTAATTATTGTTCAGTAACTGAGGTTCGCTGCCGTGAGGCATTTCTGTCGTGAATCGGCAGGATCAGGATGGGCGCAGCAAACCCACTGCACAAATTGAGAATGTGTTGGTAGTTCAGTATCACACGAGAAGCAGCGACCAATCTAGGTAAGTAGAGAGCTGACCAAGGTTTTTATACATACATGAAGTAACCCCGAAAGTAGGACTTGATGACATAGGCCTAAATGATACTTTGCACGTGCACGTTCTTGACGATCGTCTCGCGAACTTTTATCAAACTTAAAAAGGACTGTGATTCGTTTCCGCCAATCCTACCTCTCTGGTATAGTCACGTGAAACTTAACGAGAACCGGAATTACTTAAATCCAACTTGCTCTATTTACATGCATTAAAAATACAATAAAACGCTGCCATTGTGCTTCAAAAAACAACCAAAAATAACCCATTTACCAGAAAGTCAATAAACACCGTCAACAGACAAACACTTGATACACTTGAACTTGGTCCACACCACTTAAGTTGATTGCATTACTTGTTTATTGTTGACTCTTCTTTTGGCCATGTGACGTACGGATGACGTCAATAGAATAGAGTGTTTGTGCATCGCAAATAAAAACAAGTTCTATGCCAAGTAAACTTATGAATTGAATCTGTCAACTTCCGTTTTGGCTCTTGCATAATAAAGCCGAACTTGATTATTTCTGTTTGGTATATTGATGCCATCTATATGCTCCAAGACAAATTTGAGCTAGCTAAAAAAACATGCAGAATTAGGTTGTGGAATGAAGATATGAGGAATAGTCTGTTTTACTAATAAAAAAAAATTGAAAGAAAGAACCGCTATTCACTATGTCAACGAAAAGTAAGATAAAATGCTGACAAGAACTATTTCTGTTCTTCCCAGAAATGAGCCTGTCGTGAAATGGTTTCACTTTGTGATTCTGCTTACTGTTTACGCCAACCCAGCGGGTCACTCAAAGTTTTCCCCAACTTTTCAGTGACACAAAATGTAATCAGCAAAGCCAGAGTGGGCTTCGTCCGAATGACGTCACAATTTTGACAATAATTATAGTTAGTGTCACGCGCTCTGTAGCATGTTCACGATGTGCGCCCAGCTGTTGTATTAAAAACATTGCATTCGAATTGACCAATCAAACCGTCAGTAGTCCTGATTTGGGAATGAAATGACTTCACAATTTATAGTAAAGTCGACTGTGATTGGCTTGTACGCGGCTTGCATGTTTAGACATATCAGACGTTATACAGGAAACTTGTCTCCGTGGATAAAGGGTGATACTCAGACTAGCTCTGTTGTGCGATCTTAGGCAATATCTGACCACTTTGACAATTTTAAGTTAACAAAAGATTCGAGTTTGGAGTGAGTGAATCAGCTTTCCTGAGCTATTAAATAAAACTGTATAGGCTACAATATTTATTCGGGGACGAAAAAAGTTGGGGGGGGGGCATTATGATGCCTCCTATTGAAAAAGTGTGTGTCTGTCTGGGTGTGTGTGTGTGTGTGGGGGGGGGGGGGACCTGTCCACCACCGATTGACGCCCATGCCGAAGGCGTGCCCGCCCGCCCCGCTAGAGGGGTCTGGTGCGTTTTTCTGTAATCTATAGCATATTTACAGAACAAGTCTCCTCTCTCTAGTCTCGTCGCTGCCTTTCTTGTCTCGTCGCGCGCCCTCTGTTGTCGCACCCGCGCTATCTCGTCGCAGTTTTTGGTCCCGTCGCTTTTTTTTTTACTTTAGTAAAAGTATGACAGACCCCAAATAATAAATGTTGTCTGATGTGCAACTAATCCTAGCAGGCTACACACTGACGTAAACCACACAATTGGTTTTGTCTCCACTTTTTCTTCTCTTTTTGAGTCTCTCTCCCTCTCTTATATATCTTGCGGTTTTTTTTCTGAAGGAAAATGGCGGGGGGGGGGGGGGCGTGCGCCCCCATCACGCGCCCTGATCCGCCCTTGATTGTTATCACATCGTGGACGTTTTAAGATGTTGGACGTCTGATGTACCACCCTAAGTGGTTTAATTTGTAATGGCGATGGATATATATTTATCGACGTAAAGTATCTTCTATCTTTTTAAAACGGTGTGATTCGAGTAATCTTGTCTTGAATGTTGACAAAACTAAGGAAATGATAATTGGATTCCTTGGATACAAGGGTCAATTTGAACCAATTGTCATTAACGGACGTGGCGAAATGTGGAAATTGTACATTGTTTTAAGTTTCTTGGTATACATTCATTAGGCCAAAAAAACAAAAACAAGTACTATTTCCAATTACATGGCATTCGAAAATAGGGTAGGTAGTGAAAAATAGGGTAGGGGCTGTCAGTATAGGCTCGGTAGGGAAACCGGAAGCAAAACAAATTGTTTTGGTCTTATGAACACTCAATCTTGGTCAAAACAAGTATCTGAACATTTGAAAAAGGCCCCAAAACGCGTGTATTTTTTTTTACGTGGACTTGAATCCTTTGTTGTGAGCAGTCGTATTTTGATTATATTTTACACCTGCCCATTAGTGTCTGCATGGTTCAGTGTCACCAAATTGATAGACTGAATCGGGTGGCTAAAAACGCGTCGTACATAATTGGAGTTAAGTTGGATGACATGAAGACAATTTATGAAGAGAGAATGAGGAGGCGTGTCGAGAGTATTGTTTAGGACATTCATCACCCAGCTAGTAAGTTCTTCCACGTGATGCCTTCAGGAAGAAGGATGAGATCAAAAGGTTCAAAAACCGACCGTTTTAGAAACAGTTTTGTGCCATCGGCCGTGCGGGTGTTTAACAACGGGAAATTTAAAGTTATATGATAGTTATTGTAATTGCATGTATACTTTTGTTGTGTTTCGTTTATTGTTTTAAATGTGTGTATTCTAAATAATTAGTCATTGAGCTATTATATTCAACTTTTAAACAATGTCAAAACAAGCGCTTATGAGTTTACTCGATGTTTAGTGTTCCTAAACAGAACCTTCACGAAGCGTTGATTTGTTAAACACGACATAAAAGTGCTCATATACGGAATGAGGCAAAAAGTTGAATCCGCCATCAAAAGTTGCTAAAAATGCTAAAAAATGCTCTCAACAACTTTTCAAATTGAATCAAATTATGTACGTAGCCTTCATGAAACGACGTGACAAGGAATGTTTGCTATTTTACAATAAAGATTATCTTTCATTACTGTCATCTTAAGGGATTAATAACGGTACAAAGTTCGACCCCAGTTGATAACAAAAACCATATCAGTCACATAATCTTCCAAAATCGTGCATTGGTTTAATTATCACCAAGATTAAGTCATAATTTCAACCCCAATGACAAGACACTTTTCGGGGCAAATAATTTGATATAAGTTCCAGGGTGTGAGACAGGAATACGGATAGCATGCAAACACTTCAAACGGTCGCAGGACGGTCAGGCTTTTTGATAGGGTGAAAAATCATAATTCATTGTACATCTTCTCAAATTCAGCCTTCTTCGAGACGTGGCTTAGTCCCAATTTTCAAATTTAAGTGGTGAAATGTTATAATAACAATGACTGCATATTAAATGAATCAAACTTTAGTTTAGCCGTGACTAACATACAATTAAGCATTATGGACATGATCACCGGTACATACCCACATTAAATGGATATTTATTGAAGTGCTTATGAATGAAGGACTAGATAAAAAGAACATTAAACAACAAAAATCAATCTTGTCCTGTCTAACCAAGAAGACAGTGTATTCTTTTGCGGGGGGGGGGGGGGGGGGTGGTTGATGCATTAGAAAAAAGGCGCGCTAATTGGCAGAGTGCAGACATATCCGGGCATGTGATTAGTCACGCTGTCAATTCTATCAAGGAAGCCCCCAAGATGGCATTGTGTTAGTTATTGTTCAGGATAAAGTAACAGTGTTACTGTAACACGATGCTTTCTCAATTAAATGGGCCTCCGTATTAAAGTGAACAGTGATCACGTCTATTCGGAAGGTTGGGATGGCACGGAGGGAGTGGTCTTGTTGGTGTTATTATTATTAACTAAAGACGCAAGTTACCCGGGCTGATTGCAAGCGCACGTAACTCTCTTGCCATTTCCTAAACTAAGGCTTTATCTCCAGCTTCGGTTTCGTCTGTATGTCATTAGAATCGTTCAGAAACATTAGAGCCACACAATATACTCTTAACTTCGACCTGCTTTCCGAAATAACCCCCTTAGAACAGAAATCCCCTGAAGCTGAACGAAGCCGAGGTTCGGGAAGACCAAGCCTAAGCCATAGCCAGCTCTTCTTTGGACTGCGAAACCCGTGCAGTGTAGAGCGGCTTCGAGAAAGTCCGCCACACGCTGACCACCAGCTTGATCAGGAACAAGGCGAAGGCCAGGCCCAACAGGACGGCCGTAAAGATGGAGTTGGGTTTGGTTGCGTTCCAGTTCTGAGCGATGCTTCCAATCAGAGCAAAGATGACCACCAGCCAGACGGTGTAAGTGTAGCGAAGGTACTTGTCCCAGACGATGTTCTCAAGGACCGAGTAGAGCAGGACCTCTACGAGTAGGATCGAGAGACAGATGGTACATGCTGTGGATTGCTCCATCCCACCCCAGTAGCTCAGCACGATAGCCAGGTTCAGGAGTGTGGCTATGGTCACCCAGGTTGCGTAGAAGGCTAGGCCGTTCTGGATAATTGCACGGATGGCTATAAGCTCGCCCCTGTTAAGAAATTTAAAAATGAAGAGTGCAAATCTGTCCTTACGAAAATACAATCATCTGTCGTTTTATATGTTAACACTTTCTGGTAATACAACCAAACGAATAAAGCTTAGACGTCAAGAGAACAGACATAGGTCCTATTAATTCTCAGTTTTATATGTATTTTCTTAAGACATTTGGGACACTTTCACTTGAGGGTTTGTAACAAGTAAAGGGTGCAAGGTCTGATCCGGACTCTTGTGTAAGAGATATTGATGAAATTGGACCTGAAAATCGCTCTACATGTATTTGGATAGTCAGATTCAACCAAGTCATCCGTCAACCCCACAAAAATGAAAAGAGAACGAAAGAAGCTTTAATTCGACATATGTATTGAGCAGTGGACACCTTGGGTAGTTATGGGTATTTTCCCTGAATTTTGATACGGGGGTACATGTATTTATCATTGGTGTGCATCGTGCTTCATTACGGAACTCTACTGAATGGCCTCGGATTTAAAGTTACAAGCTCACCTGTAAGTATGGACTAAATCGTAGCCGTGCTGATCCACAAGTCGGTGGTTCATGAACAGAAAGATGCACAGTGTGGTGGGAAGAAGAGCAATGACTACCAGAGCAACCGGCATGTACTGTCGGTCAAACAGGAAGAGCCAGGTGACATTGAGGGCCAGGTTGGTAGCATACACCACCAACATCACCGGGGTGATAACGGCAGGACTACGGTAGACGTAACCGGTCTTGTTGCGCCGGCAGATGGCGGTCAGCGTGTAGAGAAGGAAGAGCGCCTGGTAGGTATAGATGAAAGCCCAGATGGAGAAGGTCCAACCGGCCGGTGTGATCTCAATGTAGTAGTAGTCAGAGAGATCGCCGGTGCTGTTCAGAAACCACTCTGCACCAGAAAGACAACCAAGCCAGGGGAGTTATAACAAAAGAGAAACAACATAACGGCTCGAAAAATAATTTCACTGAACTGGAAAACATAATTATCAAAATGAGGATCTCTGAAAGGCTGAAAAGATCTGTTTTACATGAGTGTGCCAAAAAAGTGCAACATTCAGAAAACAAATAATTGAAACTGTTCAATGTTTTTTTCTTCTAGAAAAACATACATCACATTAAAGCCTTTATGACTATTTCTCAATCCACTCCTCTTTACCCCGTTGTATTTGGGTCCCAAGATTCAGCAATACAATTAATAAGGTGAAAGGGTGTAAATTTTACTTGGGCCACTCTCACCTGTGATGTCACCAACTTCAATGCCTCAATGCATACTCAATGCTTACCCAGATTCAGCAATCGCCAACGCACATGGTGTGCATTAAAGCTTATGCTGACCCTTTCCCCCAACAGAATATTACCTTTGGAGTTGGGCCTGTGATGATATTTTATTTTAAAAAATACATTTCTTTCCGACACATGAAAGTGCTGCATATCATATTGAACGGACCAATAAACCGTCTGAACACATTAGAATCACACTCTTGGAAAAAAAATGGTCCGGTTAACTTAATCTTTATGATGGGACTTGCGGTTTTGCCGAAGTCCATTGAGTGTGATCGGCTGACCGATAAGGTTTACGCACCGTAACCATGAGCCAGTGAGGCTTTTGTATAGAAGGCTGGCCGAACCATATTTTTGCGGCAGTGTGCCGGTAATGAGTATACACGTCTTCTCAATGTCATTCTTTTCCCCCACATTGTCTTTACCGATACCGACGCTATCTCCAATTCCGGCCAGGGCGTTAACGAACATGGTCATGATGAACATAGCCAGGACTACAACAGTCATGCAGATGAACAACACGCTGTGCTTCTTGCTGTCCATGGTGGTAGAAGAAATACTGTAGGAGGGGGAGGGGTTCAGGAAAAGAAGTGCTGCATAATCAAAATGATCCGCTCTGATAGCCTGGTAAGTCAGATCACGGAGGAAAAAGAATTGCACTTACTGTCAGTCACGAGTCTCTACAAATTGCAAAATAGTCTTATATAGACCTGCCAAAATTACGTTCAAGGTGTATAGCCTGGTGTAAGGTGTCATTTGACAGTATTCAGAGGGAAAATTACCAATGCAACTAACAGGCCTTTTTAATAAATTGTTTATCAAACCACCGGCTGTAAATTCCTGTAAGCAAAGAGCAACCTTTGCTGTAACCCAGGAAGCCCCACGTAAAATAAAGGGGTTCGGATGCGACTTTATTACAGATCTAAAACACACCCAAGCGCGGGCCTTTTTTGCTATAGTTCATGGGATCATGGTTGGACAATATACATGTAGTTCACTCTTTCCAAGGAAAAAAAGTAAAAAGAAAACGCAGAAAGGAGTATTATAATAGCTTACCAAACTTTGGAACAATTCAACTCGAGTCTTTGTCCATCCAGAGCGGTATCGCATATATGCAACTTGTGGCGATTTAAGTTCCGATGACTGTGCTTATCAATATATACGTTGCCTCTAAGGCTCTATCAACGCTATCTCTGATAAGGGGCACTGGGTGGGGCTCAGCGCATAAATTTGCTTAGGAAGTACAATCATAGCCAAAAAGACAGGGTACCAGCCAAGGGATAATGGTGACTGTAATTGTTATTGCTCGTGACTGCATGCTTCTCAGCTGATTCGGTAAGTGCATACATTCGATAAGAAACATTTCTTTTGTTTGAGTGAATGAGGGTGCGTTGCTGGCGCCATTTTTTTGGGCACCAACAGTTGAAATATCACGTTTAGTGAAGAAAGATAGACATGTACAGCGGCACAATTGCAGAATACCCCCTTGACTTCATCCAAAAAAAAAAATAATAATAAGATTGCAACTATAGGCCCCCCTATGAATTTTTAATAACCGGAATCACGTTTGCTTGTATAACCCCAAAATAACGTCGTTACAGCGCCCCCATTCCTTCAAAAATATGACCTATAATTCGTTTGCATTCAGCAATCATCTTTAGTTTAAAGTATGTTTTCTAATGGTAATTCATTACCAATGAATGCGTAAGATGTGTACTCATCATGCGTATCCCTGTTGAACAAAAGCACACACCAATGATGGCTGTAGTGCAATCAAAAGACCTCTTCGCTTTATCGGTGAACTCCGCAAACACTGGATTAGTAAGTCGCGTGCCAACATCTTTCAACCTGCACGTGAACACACACGTGCGGGAGGATCAGATTGTGGGATCAGCGTTTGCACGGTTCAAGGATCACATTCTGTATCATATCCATTGATGAGTGACCTCAACTTGTTACGAAACGTGTTTACCGAGGCACGTCATGTGTCGATGAACGTTGAGTAGTGATTTGTGAAGCTTCAAACACCACAAGTTGCGATAGGCCTGTCGCTCTCACGATCGTAAAAGGCTACGGAGAAATTGGATTAAGGTTTGGTATTGGAATAGGTATTAAAAAATGTGACTTTCAGGATTTTCATAATTATTATCTTATTTTCCTGCAGGAATATTCAACTAACTTATTAAACCTTGCCTGGCCTCTCCACGGAGCCGATTAGTCTAAGTTTCAATGCGTCGTCGTTCGTTGCGAAACAGCTGTTCAGGCAGTAATGCAAAAATGAACTGCTTACGATGTAGGGGGGTGTGTTCGTGGACCAGTAGCCACTGAGTTAAAAAAAAAAATCCCCAGTTAGTTGCTTTGCAACCCGCTTAAGATTTTGAACACTTTTGTTGCTTCAGACCAACAAACTTGCACAAGCAAAATGATCTAGTATGTACCCGTTTATAAAACGGTATATGTCTATTCCCTGTGTACATGTAGTAAGTTTGATTGTGCGACACTTCCTCCACAGCTTATCATCATGGACAGCAAGAAGCACAGCGTGTTGTTCATCTGCCTTGCTGCTCTGGTCTTGGCTGAGTTCATCATGACCCTCTTCGTCAACGCTCTGGCAGGAATTGGGGCAAGCGGACCAGTCGGTAAAGACAAATTTGAAAAAAAAATAACACCAACGAGGCCAATACTGTTGAGTAATTGGCTCATTCAAAATGGAATTAACATTGATGCCATATCATGATGTCAGACAAACGTATTTATTTTAAAAGGACGAAAAGCAAAAGGTTTAGTTCGAGTAAAAAAAGTAAGCGACCACCTTATATAAAGCTATGTTAAGTTACCCAAGATTATAGCAGTTGTGTGGATTTACATGTAATTTGGTTTTATTCACTGAAAATTGTGAAAGTCATGCATCTTCCCGAGTCGTTAAATGATACTTATTTGACGACGTTAACGTTGTTCCTGCTTTGATTTAGTGGCTTAAATTTAACACCCCATCACGTGTTATCCCTATGATCATCCAGGATGGTTCCTGAACAACACTGGCGAGATCTCCGACTTCTACTACGTTGAGATCACACCAGCCGGTTGGACCTTCTCCATCTGGGCTTTCATCTATACCTACCAGGCGCTCTTCCTTCTCTACACACTGACCGCCATCTGTCGGCGCAACAAGACCGGTTACGTCTACCGTAGTCCTGCTGTTATCACCCCGGTGATGTTGGTGGTGTATGCTATCAACCTGGCCCTCAATGTCACCTGGCTCTTCCTGTTTGACCGACAGTACATGCCTGCTGCTGTTGTAGTGGCTGCTTTCTTGCCCACCACGCTGTGGATCATTCTGTTCATCAACCACCGACTTGTGGATAAGCACGGCTACGATTTCGTGCAAACCAAGAGGTAAGGTTTGAATCTCGATAATGATTTTTCTGAAGCCCATTCCATATGGAGCTGCTAAGCACTTAGCTCAGATCATTTTGCTGAGCAACGATACAGGTTATCGGTCAAAATGCCATTGGATGGATGCATGTTGCTATAGTGACTGGCTCTTCGAGGCTTTTTGCTGAGCAACTTAATTTGCGAGTTTTCTACCAAGCAGCTCGAGGAAATGGGCCATGCATGTTTGGGAGTCAGGTTGGCACATTGACATTTTACTATCCTTGTCCTGTAACTATGGGTACCCGGGTTAGAATCCAACCTGGGCCGACAGTGTAGGCGGAGATTTTCAATCCCTGCCGGATTCCGTGGGTGTTTTTTTTACGTGGAATATCATGACCAACCTTTAAAAATAAACATTTCATAATCCACACCTCTCTATGTTTCTTCATGCTCTGTTGTGCTAATGCCTGGGCTTTTTGGGTTTCACTTCCAGAAAACGAAAATAACAGATGGAGTATGCACACTATAACAAAGGGATTTGTAGAATAAACAGACAACTAGAATTAAAGTAATTCTTAAAGAGTTTGCTTGGCGTGGTTCGAGACCAACCCGAGTAACTTTACTGAATAAACAATGCTTATAAAACTTACATCTTCCCGACGCGAATTTTAACAAAAAACAACAACAACTTTGGATAAAGTAGGCATTTATTCTTAATTTTGAAATTTTTGTTGCCAGGGGCGAGCTTATAGCCATCCGTGCAATTATCCAGAACGGCCTGGTCTTCTACGCAACCTGGGTGACCATAGCCACTCTTCTGAACCTGGCTATCGTGCTGAGCTACTGGGGTGGGATGGAGCAATCCACAGCATGCACCATCTGTCTCTCGATCCTACTCGTAGAGGTCCTGCTCTACTCGGTCCTTGAGAACATCGTCTGGGACAAGTACCTTCGCTACACTTACACCGTCTGGCTGGTGGTCATCTTTGCTCTGATTGGAAGCATCGCTCAGAACTGGAACGTAGCCAAACCCAACTCCATCTTTACGGCCGTGCTGTTGGGCCTGGCCTTTGCCTTGTTCCTGATCAAGCTGGTGGTCAGCGTGTGGCGGACTTTCTCGAAGCCGCTCTACACTGCACGGGTTTCGCAGTCCAAAGAAGAGCTGGCTATGGCTTAGGCTTGGTTTTCCCGAACCTCGGCTTCGTTTCGGCTTCAGGAGATTTTCAGGCTCGATTTTGAAGAATCCGATTCACAATTGGTCAAAATTGGTTCGGAGAGTATGCCTTCATACGGCCGGAGTTTAGAGCATTTCCATTACGTGTAGACTTCAATAGGCTTTTAAAAGATCTTTGGATCCATATTATGAAGCTGATGGAGCCGGAGACGAGGCCGGAATTTGGGGAATCGCCTCTTCGAAAAACTATAGCGAGAGACCTATCGCAAATACTTACAATATCAAGAACAATCCTCCGTGTCATACTTTAAGCATTCTGAAAAGTCACTTTAGGGATTATATTTTTGAAGACATATGACTATGAGTCCAGTGTTGTAGTCGAGACTGGATAGTCCGCGACCAAGACCGAGACCTGAAGTTTCGAGACCAGTAAAAAGTGCGTGGTATATGCAATCAACCAGAGTGAACCTTGTACCCTCGGTTTGATCCATTAAGACGACAATATTTTGAGAGATATGGACAAATTTTAATCCTTCGGGTTAAGTCCAACATTCCATTTTGTTTTACGTGTATAGGCTTATATTCACGAGGACCGTTTACATTTCCTTCAGTAAATTTGGAAGTTCGGAGCACTTGGTTTCTTTACGTTGTAACACGATTCAGATGCACACATATCCACAAACGTCAATAGAAGATCTTATGGGCTTGATACATCACGAAGAACTCTGAGTTCTACGATTTTCATAACTTGTACATAGTATATTCGACAGTCTGCGGAATTCGTACAATCCAAAACAAGATGGAGCAAACATGATTTCTAAGTTTCTGAATTAATAGTAACAGTGTAACAATATGTAGTTTTTAAAGGTTTTCATATTTTTAAATACTTTTAGTTTTTTTAATGATTGTTTAGCGTCTTGAACGTCATTTGAAGGATTTGGCGCTATATAAGATTATTATTATTATTATTATTATTAAAAGACTGATTTTTTTTTAACAAGAACATTTCTATTTCGTTGGTACATTTGTACTCTCAAGGATTATCGCCATCAGCGGGTTGTTTATCTTGAAGTGCAAAAGTCGAAAGGAAAAGGTGGAGGAGGGTATGAAGCGATTGGATGGCAAATTAAATTGATTATAATGGGTGTTGCTATTTTTTTGTATATGCATATTTATCTTGTCAAAACTTGTCAGTCGGAATAAATGACTTTTAATATCACTGGTATACGTTTTAGTCCTATATTGCCAACCTTCCTGAGTTGGTACATTATAACACAATTTTAATATCCATGCCACTAAACGTAAGGTTCATACACGTGCGGACGTGCCCCGTACTGTGACCCATAATGTTACATGTACCAACCTTATGCAATGTACATGTACTTCCCAATACATCTTGTACATAAACATCATTATGACCACACATCTCACCTGCACTGCAACGTGCTCCTTTCACATGCCCCATCGATTCTTTTGAAAACCAAATTCAATCACTAAAACCAAAATAAAGGGAACTATGGCGTCCTTGTACAAACTCAGCAAAGTTTACACAAAGGAAATACTCCATCGTACTTTCTGAGGTTAATTATGTCATGCCAGCTTGTCAACTAAACTCCTTCAGGTGTCATTTGCCCAGTTCGCAGTGGGACTGACTTGGTAGTGTCGTGGAATCTGAGGTAAGTTGTACATGTACTTGTATTTGTAGGCCGTTTTGTTGCGTTTTAGTTCCTTTTTTTCAATCATACCATGGAGGAATCTCAGTATTGAGAGTCCCAAAACTAAAAACATGCAAGACAATAGACTGGCACATGAAACAACCGGGGGTCAGACAAGTCGACCGTTGAGACAACTCGACTCGGGACAAGTCGACCGTTGAGACAACTCGACCGTTGAGACAACTCGACCGTATGTGCGATAAATGGAAAGACAAGTCGACCGTTGAGACAAGTCGCCTCGCATGTTTTGGGCCTAGGTTTGGGGAAAGTACCGGGGATTTTGACAGCGGCTGGTCGCCGTTTGGAAGTAATGACATATGAAGGGTTTTTTTTGCATTAAAAGAGCCGATATAGCGCAGCGTTATTGGCCGTGCACATCGTTCGTTTGTTCTGGGCCACGTGCGCGCATCCCCGATCAACGTGGCCGTACCGTGCACGGTGGCATCGTTTTTGCCGGGCCTGTGTGCCCACTTGCCGCACCGGTCGACGTGCCCGCGTGCCGAGCCCGGCCCGGTCCTCGCGGCCGGGCGGGGCGCTCCGGCCCGACGCGACGGCCACCGGATCGGAGCGCCCTCTGTACATCGAGTATGTCCGCGCCGTGCCCGTGATCGGTCTTGCCACAGATTTGTGCAACTTTTTCTGATCCACGTGTATTCATTTCCATTTAGTCGAGCAGTCTAAACGGTCGAGTTGTCCCGGGTCCAGTTTTCTCAACGGGCGACCTGTCTCAACGGTCGAGTTGTCTCAACGGTCGACTTGTCCCGAGTCGAGTTGTCTCAACGGTCGACTTGTCTGACATCCAAACAACCAATCCAACACCCCTTTAGTACTGCATTAATCAACTCAGTCAAAATAAACATGTGTCACCCTGTCCCTATTATTTCTACACATTTGCCGCCCAGACTACTGACGGGTCAATCTTCTCAAAAAGTTGGACAACAACAAGTATCTAGTCAATTAGCTTCAAATTGAAATCAATTGGCTTCACTCTCAGCGGCATGGCGAAGCGGCAATATGTTAAAGAAAAGTCTCCTTCAAGTTCAAATTGAATTGAGACCTCAAACTTGGCTTGTGAAAAACTGAGGACATTGTTTTTGTCTTGTTAAAATATTGGAAAATTGTACTTTTTTTTAGCATGTTTTCTTCACTCAACGTCCCAGTCGATCTGGGTTTACCCCGGAAGCAATCAAAATCTGCGATATAAAATCGCTGTTGCTCACTATGTACATGTACATGCATTTGCCGTAAGTCTTGTATAAGTCGACCACGTCTAGTTGTTTAGTATAAAATAAATTAAGATGAAAAGCTATGACTGTCCTGGCCCTGAATAGCTTTTCGGTTACCTATTCGGAGGTATAGTAGGTCGACTGCGGCTCCACGCCTCCACGCAGCCGTACGGAGGCGCGGATGTAGAGTAAAGTGGCCCTGCATTCTATAGTTGTATATTCAGATGTCATATTAATTCTCAACTTACACACACATGGGACCTAATTCAGTGGTGTTAATGCCGACGTACTTGGAAGAGAAACAGGACAACTCGTACGCGAACCAACTCGTACGCGAGACAACTCGTACGCGGTTTGGTCAACTCGTGCGCGAGACAACTCATACGCCAGCCAACTCGTACGCGAGCCAACTCGTACGCGGCCCAACTCGTACGCCAGGCAACTCGTACGCCAGCCAACTCGCACGTAGACGATCGCCAACTTGAAGTTGAAGTTTACCCCAAAACACGTCTATCTTAATATGAAGATCATAAAATTCACATGTCCATCATTTACCGTTTTACGAACTGATGAATACCAATTAAAAACATTATGAAACATTGACGTTTTTCCACCTCGATGAATGGAGGAGAACATGCAAAGGGAAACGTACCAAAATCGACATCAATATTTCAGAAAAAAAATAGATGACTTGTTCCTTATTCAAAACTCAAAATCTGACAGTAACAAATAATGTTTCAGTTTTTATTTCAATGATTAAATTCTCATTTGTATTTGAATACTTGTGTGTACTCTGTAATTCTCACTTACTTAAATAGCTACCAATGGCATGCCATTAACAGCTATAAATATGGGTTCTTTTAGAAAAACTTGCATAACTTCTGATAACATAATAGATCAATTTCAGTCATTCATTTTTTGAGATGAGTGAAAGAACATGCTCCTTTAAAATACATTGTATTAATCCTTTGTTTCAAATGTGATCGCTTTAAAAAAATGATTCGGGTCACTTTCTTTTGACTCACTCAAGTAAATCCTTAAAATGATTCCATCATGCATTGATAAGGGAACGTTGATTTACAATGTTGTTTGAATATGAAATCGTTGTGCAACAGGACGTGGGCCGGGCACCGTTGCAGTGCGGATTGGGCTGCTCACGTGCATTTTGTGTTTTGTAACCGTGTGCGACCTTGATCGGCTGATAACAATAGCATGAACGTTATGACACTTTTTTCGCGGTCAAAGTTCGACATGATTATAAAACTTGGAATTTTAGTTTTAAAAAGTCCATAACAACCTCCAGTACTCTTCAGTCCAGGCTGAAGAACAACTATACACATAGTCGCCCTAACTCTGGCTTTGATAGTTTCCTCTGCAACTACAGTACATTGTATCTAGATAAACGTTAGGATCAGAAATTTTCGTTTTATGAAACTTTTTTTTCCTATCGAAGATAGTACTAATAAAGGTAAGGCATATTACAATCGATAGTTACACGCAGGTGAATTTTCGTGATTAAGCAAACATAGCTAAAAATGATTTCTTAATATCCTTGTTACTTGGAGCATAAAAGAACTGAATGTAGGCTAATGCCTCGCGAAGACAACGTTTCCCCCCAGGAACACACTAAGATCCTGAGCAAGAATCGGGAGGTACGTTAAGTATTAGCAAAATATTCCTGTACCCGGTACCAAAAGTAAAATTGTAATGTGCATTTATTTTTGGTACAGTTTAAATATATATTCGAAAAGAGACCGCAACTCGGACGTAATGAGATCTGCTGCTGTATAAGTGTAAATTGTGTTTAGAGTTGGTTTATACGTACGTATTTCGATTTTCTTTTCCTGACGAGTTTTCAAGGAATATAATGTCAATAAATAAAATCGCTCGTTTGCATTTGCAGGCCTTTTCACTGTTAAACAAAAATGTTTTTTGAATAGCGCGTTCAGTTCAGAAAGTTTTGAGCGACATTATATACTCATATTATAGTGACGTTGCGACGGTGTTTTCACGAAGTGTCAAAAACCTCAATATCCTACAAAAAGATCATCCCGAGATAATCGCATTTGGAGTAAGCCCTTTTTTCAAAACGCATTTTCGACTATTTTGTAGTAATACATGTAGATGTGGGACATTTTTGCATTGTCAAGTAACGTATGCTCTGTTCTTTGCTAGTTCAAAGTTGTTTGTTATAAGTCTCTCTTAATTAAACAGTTATTCATTAATAAAGATAAATAAAGATATTCTTCACTTCGTGAAAACAGTAAAACGCAGAGGCCTCTATTATTTTGTCCCATTACGTTGTACACACTCTTCGTCACTTCGTGAAAATAATAAAACGTTCTAAGATAATTTTTACAATGTACATTGCGCGTCATACGTCACTGCGGCGCGCGCGCGTCTTTTTTTTCTTCATCGACATCGCGAAGCGCGCGCCCACTCCCATCTATAACGCGTGTGTAGAGAAACGAATGATCCCTCTGGCCCTGCTAACGAGGTAAGTTTTTGTCACTTCGTGAAAACAGAAAACTCGGATTTCAGGCTTTTTGATAAATGTTTGTTTACGATAATTACAAAAGTAAACAATATTTCGCTTTGAAACTTGGTAAAATTCTTCTTTTTGTCAAGTGCAATTAATTGGCCAGAAAAACTCAAAATCGAAAAATGACCGATTTTCCAGGTTTTTGTCACTTCGTGAAAACATCGCGTGTATGTTAATTTTTGAATCACGCGTTTTGTATGACGCGTTTTGGTCCGACTATGTGATAATCGTGGCCGGTACACTTCGGCGCGATTATGTAGGCATAGTTACATGCATCCAGACCGGCCTGACTATACTACATTATATCATAATCTCTGCTATTTTGCGTATTTTCCTTTCACTAGATCGTAAAACCCGCTTTGTCTGCCGGCAAGTTAAGCCACGATGGACTTGGCGAAAGGCTATACAGATTGGAATAAAAAGAGACGTCCCACTCTGAATTCAAAGTTGAAATAAATTAATTAGTTACTTATCGTCGCCTATTTTTTTCATGCGATATCTCATTGGAAAGCTTATAACTAATGTAAGGCAAAAAAAAAAATTCGGTCTCTGGTCAGACCAAAGTTCCGGAATTGACGCGGCTACGCGGCTGTTTTTTTTAATTTTTAGCTGTTTCGGTGTACACACCGAAACAGCTCTTGTTTTCGTTAAGATTTTTTTTTTTTTTTTTTTTTTGGCTTTTCCGCAAAGTTGCGGAAAAGCCTTTGTTTCTCTACGAATTTTTTTTCTTTTTTATTTTTTTTTTTCCTCTTGGGACTTCCAACCAAAATGCCATAGACTTTGTGCACGTTTTTTCTAGCAAACACTTTTGGCATAAAACAAAGTCATATGACATCAAAACTTAACATAGTCACAGAACATATAGCAAAGGTCGTTCGCGAAGATAGACGTCATGATGACGTCATCATGGGTCACGTGACGTCATCATTCATGTGCATATTACAAAGTCCTATATCTACAGAACTGTTAGTCCGATTGAGTTGAAACTCGGTATGTAGGTAGATCGGGATGTGTTATAGACGAAAATTGAGGTGACGTCATCATGACGTCATCGTGTGATTTTATATAGATTTTTGAAGATTTGGACCTTTAAGCCATATCTCACTAACGCAATATGATAAATTCAAAATTCTTTTTGTATTAGGTTCGCTGGGCAATAGATAAATGCACAAAATTTGGAAAAATGTGTGACG